GTGGGCGTATATTGTCGTCGCCCCAGTCCGTCCATCCTTCCACATTTTCGTGTGGACGTATATTGTCATCGCCCCTGTCCGCCCGTCCGTCCACAATTTGTTTATGGACACTCTACAGGTTATAATTTTTATCCACTTTTAACAAAACTTGAAATATAGGTTTATGTCCCTAACGTCGTGGACTATGGCCCCTGATTTTACGAAAAATTATGTTTTTAGCTTGTGGGCACTGCGGGTCACATTTATCCGATTTTGATGAAACTTAAAGGGTGTGTTTATAACCCAAAGATCTCAGTTCCTTTCGATATTCCCGCATATTGGATGTTAACGTCCTGGATTATGGCCCGTGATTGTACAAAAAGTCACGTTTTTAGCTTGTAGCCCCCTCTAGAGGTCACAATTTTGATTCGATTTCAAAAAACGTTTTAATATATCACTGTTACACGCTAATGATGGCAGAGCTCTAATTTCGTGAAAATCGGACGAAACTGCAGGACAAAATGGCCGCTCCTCGTACGCAAATAGTGTAAAAGTATGTAATTCCAGGGTTGTGGACACACTCGAGGTCACAATTTTTGTAGTATTTTGATGAGATTTGAAATATATGTTTAGATCCCAAAGATCTCGGTCCCTGTTGATATAACTTCGTGGAATATGGTCCCCGATTTTACGAAAAATCGCGTTTTTAGCTTGAAGTTCTTCTAGATGTCATAATTTTTATCCGATTATAAAAACCGTTTCAATATATCACCGTTACGCCTTAATGACGACTAAGTTTGAATTTCATGAAAATCGGACCGAAACTGCTCCTCATACGCAAATAGTGTAAAAAAATATGTAATTCCAAGAGTGTGGACACTCTAGAGAACATAATTTTTTATCCGATTTTGATCAAACTTAAAATGTATGTTTATTTTGCAAAGATCTCGGTTCCGTTCGATATTCGCTCATATCACACCGTAACTTCCTGAGTTATGACCCCTGAATATACGAAAAATCACGTTTTTTTAGCTTGTAGTCCCCCTTGATGTCACAATTTTTATTCAACTTGATGAAACTTTTATATATACTTTTATATCCCAAAGATCTTGGTTCCTTTTGATATTGTCGCATGTCAGACTGTAACATACTGGATGATGGCCCCTGATTGTACAAAAAATCGCTTTTTATTTTGCTTGTTCTCTGTCCATCTCCTCAAAAATGTGGGCGTATCTTGCATGGCAACCGCTTATTCATTATTTAATTCCCGTATGGTATTCAAATTTATGTCAGTAATATTCCTACAAAATTACGTGCTTTCGTAATACGATAGAATGAAATTTGCCGATCCGTGCCTGCTTCAATCAAATTCAAGGCAGTAATATTCCTCCAAAATTACGAGTCTCTGTTTATATGGCAGCAAATGAAAGAAAGATGTCCGAAATGAGAATTACTTGTGGTGATGTCAAATCATTTTCGTAAAATGGTATTTTAAAATTACATTGATAGTTAAATCGCTTCTAAAAGGCATACAGAACTTTAGCATATGGCGTACGAAACCGTTAACATATAACACATACAGTAGTTTCGTAGTAAGCACTGCCTTATATGGTAAGCGATTTTCGTGCGATAATCGAGATCGCGGGAAAGTGCCACTGTTGATGGGAATTTATATATGGTGTCTTAAAAGAAGTAGTTTCATTACAGAAAATAAGTTAAAGGTTTAATAGGAAGTTATATACTATTAGGATAATATGTGACATCAAGGATTGATATTAATGAGATTAAATTGTCCGGCAATGGAGAAACAACTGAGGTAATCACGTAGATAAGGTTGATACTCACTCTTATTGGATTGATAATTAGTCCAACAAAAGATAAGCAATGACTTCTGTTCAAGACTAGATTGATGAAATAGCGTAGGGCATGTCCGGAATGTACGGACGAAATCCCAACACTTAAAAAGCGGAAATTCGACGCGAAAAGTGACGAATTTCGCAACTTTCGACACAAATTTTCATACTGTTGTAGGTTAGTTGACAACGAGTTTATTTTTTATGTTGTTAGAACAGGTCAAGCTGCAAATAAAACAATTTCCATTTTTATCGTAAACCCTGCTCCAGTGGAGTTATCGCAATTTGAATAAAGGGTATAATTCAGGTGTCTGCAGACACGTGATTTGTATTGTGTCATGACACCTACGGAAAGAGAGGTTGCACTGGATGACTATTATACTATGGTAGGGTGAGACCCGGACTATAATCACCAACCAAAACTTAGTTCGTCATTGGTCGATTAACGGCTATAGCAATGCTACAAAAATGGTCGAAATTTGACCGGAAAATGAAGAAAATTAGCCGAAAAACGTAATCAGGCTGTATCTCAGAAACAGTTGATTTCTAAAATCGGCGATTTTGGCTGTGGAGTAGGCTCAATGGGTCGACCAAACCCTGTAAATATGAACTCAATCGGCTGACCCCCACGTTCGAACCTTCTGCATGGTTTTCTCGTGGAATGGCTCTTAATACCTTGACTAAGTTTGATAATGAACATTTTCTGCTCAGGGTAAGCAGAGCGATAAGCAGAGCGATAAGCAATTTGATTGGTCGAGACTTTGGAACACAATAACTCTCATTCTAATTGAGTTACAATGTTCACACTTGGCATAGGCGTTCATTAGGTGAATGCCTTGATGGAGTTCTATGATGAACATTGTCTGATTACGTTAAGCAGAAATAAGTAATCTGATTGGTTGATGCTTTGAGGCACGATGACTTTGGTTATAATGAAGTAAGAGCGATGGAACTCCGAATATATATTCATTATATCATTACCTTGACTAATTTCGATGGTGAGAATTTTCTGCTTAGGTTAATGAGCGATAAGCAATTTGATTGGTCAAGACCTTGGAACATAACAACTCTGCTTTTAATTGAGGTAGAATGTTTAGACTAGATGTAGATGTTCATTAGGTGAATGCCTTGACTGAGTTCAATGATTAACATTTTGAGCTGAAGCTAATTAAGCAGAGCTAATCAATTTCATTGGTCAATGCTTTGGGACAAGATAATCTTGATTCTATCTGATAGAGAGTGATGAAACTTAATGTATAGTTTGATTGCCTGATACTTTTAGAAAAAAAAAAAAAAAAAATGTGCGATTAATTAATGTGTGTCATCTATTTATTTTGGGATTTCGGCGGGGGACATCAGCCTCACTTTTGCCGCTTGTTTTTTTATGTTATACTCATTCTGACAAAGGCTTCATTTTAAAAATATTGAAATGTGATCGTATATTGTCGTGGCCCCCGTCCACTAGAGGCTAAAGTTAATATCCGATTGACTTTAAATTTATACACAGTGTTTAAGGTCATGAGACAAATAAGTCTATTCATTTACAGAGATTTTCGATGATTACTGCTAGAGTTATGGCCCTTGATCACTTCAAAAAATCTAGTGGACGCTCTAGAGGCCAAAGTTAATATTCGATTGACTTTAGATTTATACATAGTGTTTAAGGTCATGCGACAAAGAAGCCTATTGATTTTCAGCAATTTCAGATAATTACTGCCAGAGTTATGGCCCTTGATCACTTTGAAAAATCTTGTGGATGCTCTAGAGGCTAAATTTATCATCCGATTGACTTCAGATTAATACACAGAGTTTAAGATCTTGATACGAGCGAGTAAATTTTTACGACTTGGAACAGCTAAATCCATGATATTAAAAGTTTTGTATACTACACGTTAGCATGGGGCAGAACTTTATAAAAACCAAACAAATTCTAATGGTTTTCTGATAATTACTTCAAGAGTTGTTACGCTTAATCAGATTTTAGTGTATTATAAATGTTTCATTACCCCAAAAAGTAAAAATATGCGACAACACTTGTTGACTGCAGTGGGCGTATGTTTCGTTGACTGGCAACCTGTCTTTATTGAAGGCTATATCATAATCGTACGGAATTTTTATTTTAAAGCAATTTCAAGTTTTGTTGTCAGGTGACAATTGTGCCGTGTGTCTATCAATTGACGATTGAATACAAACTTTTGCCAAGTTACGTGACTAGTTATGATAGACAAAGACAACAAATTGTGTTATGAAGAAATGCCATGGTGCCGTATCAGCTTATTTTGGCCATGACATTTTGTGATACTGGCAATAGTTGAAAAATGCTAATATTTTAGATCATCGACTTATGAAACGCGAACGTTTCATCGAATAAACGAAGACAGTAATTAATTTATTCTGGAATATTACGGACTTAAACTCCAAGATGGTACGTGAATTAAATATGGAAAATTTTCAAAAGGTGTACCTGTCGTTATTTTTGTGGTAATCACATTAAAATACGACATTCTCCACAACAAATGACCAAGAATTATTTCTGTTGAAGTTTAGTTATATAACGGGGAATGGAGCTTATAATTAACCCATATGCTACGAACCTCAATTGACCCAATTCTGGCAGGTTGGTTTCAAAATGGATTAAGAACCCTGATGTTTACCCATCTCAAACATCTTGAAACAGAATGTAGTTTGAGATTATTTTTGGCATTATTCGTGATGTCATCATATCGCGTATCGGTTTGCTGTATCGTCAATACGTATCGTATCGAAAATGAACTGTATCGACACAGCCCTAGTGTTAAAGCGTTCACAAGGTCTAAATATGGGCCATAACTCTAATTAACAGAAATTATTGAAATTAAATAGACGTCTTCATCTCACTAATGTCATGTCAACAACATATATCAATTTTAAAACATTCGGATTATAACTTTTGGCATTCACAAGAAACTATGGACGGACGGACCGACAGACGGAGGGGGCGACGGCAATATATGTCCACATTTCCATGTGGGCGTATAAAAAATATCTTGTATTCAGCGTAATGTTGATTCATTTTAAAACACATTTCTTTATATATAGAGCTTCATGTTTATCGTAATTCACTTAAAAAGTTGAATGTTATTGATGGATTAAGGCTGGTTATTAATAGAATATGTTGCTCTACTTCAGGTTGATCTGTTATTAAATGCAGTAAAAGATGTTTCTACTAGTGAAGATTTTATAGAAAGTCCGGAGAAGATTGTATTGGCGTCATCACCTAGTGAAGATCACCAATCATTTACTAACATACATCGTACCTGTGATGACCCTTCTACGGGTTTATTGGACAACAACTCCATGGATGTCTCGGATCAAGAGTGGACTGTCAAAACAGATAAAGGAGATAACGAGGATACAGACTCGACATATTCATCCTCAGATATTGGACATTCTAGTGTTTCTGATATTAAAGAAGACTCACAGGAATCGTTTGAACTTAAAGATGGTGATATGGATGTACATGTAGAAGATGTAAACAAGTGTGTAAATAGTGTTATAGACAATAATATAACTGATAAATCACTAGCTATTGATCAGGATCTCAATAATCTGGCACTGGCTAATACCAAACCAGATAAAAGTTTATTAGATTCCGAATTAAATGGATTCTCTAATACACTTGGAACTACACTACCCGACCTCAACTTGCCTCTTGAAAAATCTTTTGAACTTTTGGGGAATGATTTCCGTCTGGACAAACCGGATGATTTATTTCCAGAAGCAAACATGGATATACCATCTCATCAAGAATCCAATCTGTCAGATTATAATAATACCCCTTGGGTGGTTACTGTTACTATATATTGGAATGATCTACCAGCGATTATGATTAATAATAAACCCTTTATACGACTTGTTGATATACATAAACAGATACTACCAGCTAAAGATACAGGCATCTTAAAGAAACGTTGTCAACTGTTGAGTATACATGTTATGAACTGTTCCGAGATGCAGCGTTACTTCTTGGTTCAGTACGGTCGAGGCTATAATTCTAAAAGTACATTAATTGTATCGAAAACTGATGCTTGTCAGTTGGTGGGATATTATGCTTATCCACAGCCTCGTGTTGCTAAGTCAGAGGATGCCACAGTTTTACATTTGTCTCATCTTTCTCAACACATGGCCTTATTACAACCTAATGTACCCTCTCCACATGCTCGTATGGTGAGAAAAAAGAGATCTGGATCAAGAACTGCCAGCAGGAACACATCTCCAGAACGGTTGGTTTTGTTATTATATTTAGATGAGAGTTTGACTATTCCATGTACATCACTGTCACATAATCTACATCGATGGATATGAATTATCATTCACCATCTCCTTCATCCTACTCTAATATATTAAGCTGTTCAGGGTCCCAATTCACAAAGACTTTTAAAAGCACACTTAACAATTGGACCAAGGTTTATGACCCAGCATGGTCACATCTATTGCAAAAATCTGGCCCGATTTAGCTACAATTCTTTATCACTCAACTACCCCAAGCCTAATGATTTAGATGTAGACTAAAATATATTTAACATGAATTAAAGAGGAATGTGTATTCTGATGTGTGCACTTCAGATAAGATATATATATATGCAATTGAGTCAAGTAGTGTGGTTTCCTGTCATGGTTAAGTCCCCTACTGCAAGTGAATTATTGAAATAAAGATGTACCGTGTTAATCCTGAAATAACCTACAAGTGTGTAGCTAGTGTTGAGCCACATTTCTCTCATTATGCATGTAAAAATATTTAATATGGTTAAGAGTTCATTTGCCAACACCTTAAATTTTTATATGCCAATATTACATGTCAAAGTAATTGTCATAATGTTTATTGTTCATATGTAACCATTTCAAAGTTGAATGTTACACATTTAAGTGTTGCTCCTATCATCAATATCTTGGTAAATGCTCTAGTTAACAACTGGAATTGTTCAGCAAGATGTTGCTGGTTTGTTGAGTCAATAACCTTATCGAAATTCTGGACGTACATCAATAGAGTTGCTGCCCAGGTGACAAAGACTGCATATTAATTTTTTTTTGGGAGTTATTGCACCTTTCTTCCCCAATTTTGCTATTGGGCATATTTACATATTTGCATATTACAAAATAAGAGGACAAATTACAAGTGATGGTAAAATAAGTAGGGAAAGTTATGTTATGTGTTGAAGAGAAATGGTATATAGATTACTTCAGTGAAATGTGTATTATTATAAACTCTGTAAACTTACGGATGTACTCCAGTTAACAAATATTTAATTCAAATATATTTCAGGAAAGATAATGGCAAGAGTGGGAACATGTCAGCACTCCCATCACCTAAAGTCCCGAAACCTGCACCGGTAGTTATTCCTACCGTAGTGTCAAAAAGATTAAGGCACAAGAAAATCAACTTCCTTGAGATGTTAAAGGGTGATTCTGTTGAAAAAAATGAAGTACAGTCAGAGAAAACTCTTCAAATCTCTGTTAACAACAAAAAGAAACCAGAAAATAGTAAAAAATTAAACAACCGTGGCAAGAAGAAAGAGGAAGAGAGTAAAATTGTTCTTGAGAATAGTTCCGAGGAAGAAGGTAGTGCAGAAAGTGAGGATGTTCAGGAAGAAAGCTTGACTTCCTTATCTTCTACAGAAGAAGAGAGTGAAACCATCAAGCCAAAACATAAAAAATCTATAAATAAAATTTCACCCACAAATGGTAAAAAATCACAGTCCAAAAGACTGGGTCCTCTTCGTGTCAGTGTGAAAGGCTTGCTGCATTTTACAAAACCATCTAAAAAAAGTGCCATGATTAAAAACGTTTTGAAAGGATTAGATGTTGTTCACACTGCACTTGAATTCAAGGCAGGTCAAATACCCATCTCTCAGAATGGAACTCTTCATTTAGATTTATATAAAAAGAAAAGTTCATTGTGCGTACGGTGTGTGGACTGTTTAAAATTACTGTCTGTTCAGAGTTTCTTAGCGCATCAACATTATCCTGAAGATGATAAAACATTGACAACAGTTTTAGAAACTCAAACGCTTTCACCCAAGTCAAGTGATTCATCTCGAAATATGAAACATATTTGGGAAGATTTTCAACAACGGCGAGAAAAATTTGAAGGTTGCAGATTTTTGAAACCACTAAAAGCAGTTGCTAAAGCTGTGGACGCAGTGGAGAAAAGTTCAAAAAGTGAAATAAAAAGTGAAAAAAGTGAAGAACTATCTCCAATGGATGTAACGACTTCTATAGGAGAGGCTGTCCTGGATGTTGGTGATAACATGGCTACTCCACAAGACATAGAAGAAAAATGTGATTCTGTGTCTTTTAACGTTCCATTAGAAAAATTAAAAACTGAAGAAGAAAGATTGACTCCACTTGTGTCTACATTAAATACAGGTGATAAAGACAATGATGTTACAGTGTCAGAATTACTGTTACCTGTTGTGGAGACTAACAGTAAAATAGTAACATGCCATATTGAAGAAACTAACTCTTCCTTATCAAGTCAAATTACAGACTTAAATACTGCAGCAGACGTTCTTGATAAATCTGCTATCAGATCAAGTTCGCGTAAACGCAAAAGTAGACAATATTTTTCTTTTGAAGATTATTCCTTTTCTAATAAGAAAGCAAAAACGGATGAAATTGAGTGTAAAGATAGTAATGTGTGAAGTGAAAAATATCATTGTGAAGTAGTTGTATTATTCCTCACTTTTATTAGTGGCTAAATTATTATTATTATTATTAGAGCTGTTAAATTCTGTACTTCTTCTTTATATGGCTTCATCTATTATAGACAAAGCAAGATACAACTGTTAATTGAACATAAAAATTCAACAACCTTGTATGTTTATATTCGGTTTGTAACGTGTTTGATTCACATGGATGTCATTTTGCAGCAAGTTTTGTAATTAATAATTATGAATTTTCTTTGTTTGTGAAATGGTGAGTTTTGACTAGATAATGATGTCATGTCGTTGCAAAAACGTGTGTTATATTGTTGGTGATAATTGCATGTATAATATACTCTTCAAAAAAAAGTAGGGGATAAAAAGAAACAATACAAAACTGCAGAAATGCACTTCTGTTTTTATTAGAGGTAACCAGTGTATGTTAATAACAGGCCAATTGCCTACACATGAGCATAAACAGTTCATATGGACGGCTTATCTGACGGCCCCATTTCACTCGCAAAGAGATACACTGTCAAAAGTGGAATTGGACGTTTTTGATTTTTGTCTTAATAATGAGTGATTGCTCCACCAATCCTCAGACATTCAGCAATTCGTTGTGGCATGCTCCTAATCAACTGTCCAATCACAATTTGGGGCAATCTGACCTACTCTTACAGTGCCACGGCCAATTCTTGCAGTGTTGATGTTGACGAACGTCTCTCCCGATCAAATTAAATGTAACACACTAAAGCAAAGTTACGCTAAACAGTAATCTTATGCAAGAACCGATAGGAAAGCAAACATTGATAGATAAACCAGCACGCGGCAGTTTTCATCTCAGTGGTTCTGTTGGGGCGATAAGTTCTTCATCTGTGAACATACTCTCATCGCATGTCATGTGTCCATGACTATTTATCATATCACAACCTGCATAGGTATTTGCATTTCAATACCCCTTACTTTTTTTGAAGAGTATATAATTATTGAGAATAGATGAAGCCATGTATGGTATGCTAGTAGTTGTTATATTTCTCTATTTGGTTAATATACACTTGTTTATTTCTTAGTGCTTTCCCAATTTTTTTATTGGAATTATTCTCATTTAGAAGATAAAAAGATGGCTTATCGATAGACCTACCGTAGTCAGTACTCAGCTTAATGTACGTAATGTACAAACACCTTAATATTAATACTTTTAAGATGGTATTTCTTATCATGCCTGCTTTTAAGAAAGAGCAATTGTTATGGAGTTGTATAAGCTGCTTAAATTATTGAGTCTTAAACAGAGATTACTGTAGGAAAAAAAAAATAAAGCTAGGATGTATGTCACTCAAATAAAAACCATCCTCATGCTTCATTTCAATGTATAAATTGATAATAATGTTGATTATTTTTTGATTAAATTTTAATACTGTAGAAGAAATGATCGTGATTTGAACTTTTTTCCAGCAAAAATTGTATAACTTTACAGTTCTTAGATAAATGTGATAAATTGTTTAATGAAAAAGCCCAATTATGTATTTGATTTTGATGTTATGCATCAAAGTAAAAATGTGGAGGAGTAGACTTGTATCGATGTACATGTACCCTTTGATTGGTGTAGCCTATGTTCATAAGGTAATCGTTTACATTGTAATAATTTGGAATTTAATAACTTTGGTGTGTTTAGGAATACAATTTGTATTAAACCAGTTTTATTTTGGTTTAAATATGGGTCATTGACAATGAATGTTACTTTGAGTTTGACCTATACTACATGTAGGTGGGAGATTTATTACAAATGGTAATTAAAGCTAATAGTTTTCAAATATATTGTAATACATGTTTAACAAAAATACTTGTAAAAGTAAACAATTTTACAACAAAAATATAATATATAGTAGCATGTGAAGCACCCCCCGCCCCCCCAAAAGTATATTTACATTTACAGTATGTAAATACTGATTCATGATTGTGTATTAATAGATGTATACTCTATAGAAATGTCATATTTTTAAATATAGATAAGTCTATTATTGCACTGCACCCTCCTCCATATGTTGATATCCCATACAGTATCACTTAGTTCAATAAGATGAACATGTGTACATATGATAATTAAAATTGTACATTCTCAACTCAAATCTGACTTATCTTATTTATAAAATTGTGTGTGTGTGGCTGAATGGTTACATGCATATGCTTTAGATCACAAGGTCTGTCATTGAGTCAAGTGGTGTGGTTTCGATTTCTTGGTTATACATGACAAGGAGTAGGGTTGCCTGTCAACCTCGTGGGTTTTCTCTAGTGAATTATTGAAATAAAATTGAACCATCTGAAATGACCTAACCCCATTCTCTCTGTCTAATTATTAACATTTGTCTACAAAATTTATTAAAAGCAACATTTGAAGTGCACTTCTGGCCATTTGAGATAATGAAAAAATATCCTTTGCGAAATAAACATTTTCATTTGTAGAAAATAATGACCCCTGGGCAATCATCATTTGACTGAAGTTCAGCATTATCATTGTCCCAGTTTTGTTTGGAGCATGTGGTCTAAGGGGAGACAATTCAATGCTTGCCATAAATGATCTTTTTTGAAAGGAACAAAATAGAGGTTTGGGATGGTCTAGAAGGTACAGTATGTGGCTTGGAGATAGTGGCACCTTCTCAACCTCGCAGGTTTACTCCCACAGGAAAGCCCGTGCGCTAAGCCTAATAAAATAAGATACTTTGTGATATCACCATTGGTGGAAGCAGACGTCAAACACTAACAAAAGGAACAAAATCCTCTGACTGAAGTTGCTACTTCAGCATGATCATTGTCGGAGGTTTGTTTTGAGCGTGTGGTCTGAGGTGTGACAATTCAGTGCTTGCTGTAAATGATCTCTGTTGAAAGGAACAAACTTCAGGGATTGAGATAGGAGGGTGGGGCCATTACATTACCAATGTAATTAATTACATTACCATTACTTTTAAAATGTCTGGTGGTTTTATTATCCCTTGGTCCAACAGTTTCAAAATGGTTCCATAAACAAACAGGAAATTTGGTAACATAATCTTTAAAATTCATCGGTGTTGGTGATGTTTGGAGTTATTGATATTTGTTAATAAAATTTGTAGTCGAAATGGGAGTGAACCTAATGGACTAAGGACGTCAACGACTGTACTCAAATTGATTTTTTTCTTGTTAAAAAAAACAAGCTATAAGTATAATATATAATGAATAAGCTATTTTAACAATAATCATTAATGTAATTACATTTTTTAATCGGCGGAGCAGGTAAGGATTTTGAGGGTAATAAAATTTGTAGTCGAAATGGGAGTGCACCAGTGTAGTAAGACTATTGTCTGGTAATCTAACTGATTGACTGAGTGATTACCTGCCCATTAGCACTAATCTTTGATTACAATATACATCTTTTCCGAAATCCACTTTTTTAGGTTACATGTCCCAAAAAAGGGTCTTACATGTACATAATAAGTAATAAAGAAAATGTTTAATGCCTTCTTATTTGTCAAAACTGATTTAAATCTTTTTTACAAATTATAATGAATTGGATTTGTGTCAGATAAGACTTAAACATGCATTATGCAAGAGCTAAATCTGCCTATTGCAGGTCTTTCTTTAGGCCTGAAATGTTTTCTAAAGTATTTATTAGACATTAATTAACTGATCCAGGCCTTAATCAACTCTCGATGGCATCAGATTTCTCCGATATTAAATAGATTAGAATGGTTCAGCGATACTTTGATTTAATCAAATATGGAGGACCTAGACTTAGCTTCGATCAACCAGTACGGTGGTTGAAATTATTGCACACATCTGTCAAACCTTCAAAGGCTAATATCTTTGCATGCAATAGAGTAATTTGAATGAAATTTTCAAATTATTCATTTTACATCATCTACTTTCGAACTATCATAGCAACAATGGCTAGTTCTTTATCTAAATCTTACATAATGTATCTTTAATTTACTTCTTTGGTGCTATATGTAGTTATATTGGAAATATTTTTTTGTGCCATAAAATGTAATTGACCATTACATGTATATGATTTTTGGAATGTAATTAATAATTGCATTTCTATTACCATTACCCCAGCCCTGCAAGGTATGTGGCTTGGCATAGGCGTATGGGGAAATTTTTGACTGGGGGGGGGCGGTGGTGGTTGGTGCCCAAAAAATGTAGTTAGGTTCTTAGTATGTTACATAATAATAAATTCGCTGTTAAATTGGACACATTCAAGAACACAATATCTTTTTTTAATCTAACTTTTACAAAATACAATTGTGTGCCCAAATTTTCCCAGCATTTGGTGCCCAAAATGGGGGGGGGGGAGGCGGCCGCCCCCCCCAGCTCGTACGCCTATGTGGCTTGGAGATAGTGGCGCCTTCTCAACCTCACGGTTTACTCCCACAGGAAAGAGGCGTGTGCTAAGCGTAATAATATAAGATAATTTGTCTGCAACCGTTGTTTCTAAACTCGCAGACAAAATTGGCACTATGCCTAACGGAGGCACCATCATGGCCGATGATCAAAATGGGAATTCTTTAGTTGCACATCCCCTGGGTTTAGGGGCTGTAGGCCCCCAAAATCACGGAGAAAGTCTATTTAATTAAAATTTTTGCGGACAAAGCTAATTTTTGCTACATATATTCATGTTGCTAAGGCAAACTTTAAAAGTGCCCTTCAGAACAAAAAATCCCCTGGCTTCTGGCTTCAGAACGCCCCCTAGTTACCCGAGTACGTAGATTTATTTCAAATATGACGGACAACTTTGATACCTTTCTTAGCTGATAGAGAATGGCCCCAAAGTAAATAAAACACCACTTCAGAACAAAAAATCCCCAGGGTTCCTACTCCAGAACCGGTTCCAAGCTGAACACATCACAAAATCCCGGTAGAACTAGTAGAAGACTGATTTGTTTCAAGTATGGCAGACAAAATTCTTTGTTCGTGAGCATGGTGCCACAATTAAACATACATTATGCAAGAGCTAAATCTGTCTATAACAGGTCTTTCTGTAGGCCTGAAATGTTATCTAAATTATTAATTAGACATTAATTAACCTATCCAGATCATAATCAACTCTAGATGGCATCGCTAGCCTGCGATCTTTACTGGATTTTGAGCCGATTTACTGCATAACTTTCCTCACGATTTAACGATTAAATGGATGATAGAGACTATGCTGTTTATCGTACTGACTTTAGTAATGATGATCAAGGCTAGCCGGAAATTCCAACCGCTTAGTTCTTGGTTAATAGTGGATCAATTTGAATGAAATTTTCAGCAAATTGCCTTTACATTATCTAGTTTTTATATGCCCACATTGAAATGTGGTCGTATATTGTTGTCACCCCCGTCCGTCGGTCGGTCTATAGGCTAAAGTTAATATCCGATTGACTATAAATTTATACACAGTGTTTAAGGTCACGAGACGAGGAATCCTATTGATTTTCAGCAATTTTCGATAATTACTTCCAGAGTTATGGCCCTTGATCACTTGAAAAAATCTTGTGGGCGCTCTAGAGGTAAAAGTTAATATCCAATTGACTTTAAATTTATACACAGTGTTTAAGGTCATGAGACGAAGAAGCCTATTGATTTTCAACGATTTCCGATAATTACTGCCAGAGTTATGGCCCTTGATCACTTTGAAAAATCTTGTGGACGCTCTAGAGGCTAAAGTTAATATCCGATTGACTTTAAATTTATACAGTGTTTGAGGCCATGAGATGAAAAATCATATTGATTTTCAACGATTTCGGATAATTACTGTCAAAGTTATGGCCCTTGATCACTTTGAAAAATCTTGTGACGCTCTAGAGGCTAAAGTTATCATCCGATTGACTTCAGATTGATACACAGAGTTTAAGGTCTTGAGACAAACAAGTATATTGATTTTCAATGAATCTTTATGACTTGAAGAGCTAAATCCATGATGTTAAAAGTTTCGTATACTAAACGTTAGCATAGGGCAGAACTTTATAAAAACCAAACAAATTCTAATGGTTTTCTGATAATTACTTAAAGAGTTGTTACTCTTAATCAGATATTAATGTATTATAAATGTTTCATTACCGAAAAAAGTACAAATTTGCGACAACTCTTATTGACTGCTCGGACGATATAGCTGCTTTGGGCGTATGTTTCGTTGCCTTCGACAGAAGGAAACATCTGCCTCACTTCAGGTGACATAATTAGGAACGCTTCGTGCACAAGTGAAATATATTTGGCCGAAAACTGGCGCTTAAAGAATGGCAATTCTTGTTCCAAGTCCCGATTCAATTCCTGATACGTAGACAAGCTCACTATAATGTGGATATAAACCTGAAAATCTGTCCTGGCGATCAAAATCATGGGGGGACAGAGACCTATTCGCCCCCCCCCCCCTTCCGATTTTTTAAATCGGACAAAATTGTGACCTCTACGGGGTCCACAAACTAAAAAACACAATTTTTCGTACAATCAGGGGCCATAATTCACGGGTTATGGTCCGATATGCGTGAATATCGAAAGGAACCGAGATCTGTGGGTTATAAACATACATGTCAAGTTTAAACCAAATCGGATAAATATTGTGACCTCTACAGTGTTCACAAGCTAAAAACGTGACTTTTCGTACAAATGAAATGAAATGGGGTTTAACGTCCTACTGTTTTGCTCCTAAACTGAGCTAATGAAGACGGGCATACGCCATACAGTGTGCAATGAGGGAAATTTTGCCCAGGCAGCGGCGCTACGGCCTACTCTTATATCGAATTCTAACTGCCAAGGGATCTTTTACGTGCACGCCAATTTGTACATGGGAACTCGCTTTTTTGTCCCATCCAAACGTCTAGACAGCTGTCCTTGTCAGGCCCTCCATCCTGCCTCACTGACAAGGGGAAACCACGTCGGATAATCTGGATGAACTTTCTCAGCAAATGCAGGGATCGAACACCCGACCTCCAGGCTAGCGAGCCAGCGTCTTACCCACTTAGCCACGTGATCCCCAATTTTTTGTACAATCAGGGGCCAAAATCCATGAAGTTACAGTCCGATACATGCCAATATCGAAAGGAACCGAGATCGTAGGGTGATAAACCTATATTTAAAGTTTCATTATCGGATAAAAATTGTGACCTGTAGACTGTTCACAAACAATTGTGGACGGACGGACATACAGATGTCCGGACAGGGGCGACGACAATATACGTCCACATGAAAATGTAGGCGTATAATAAAAACATGGTAATGCACTGCCTTTTTTTTTTTCAATTCTTTTTATAAATTGTCAAATGTCCTCTCACAGTCTCGTATAACAACTTTTGGTCTTCGAAGGAATTATCAGTTAGCAGAAATTCGCCCGTGTTGGCGTGTATCTGTCATCGCTCTTTACTTTAGTCAGTTATATAGAAGAATAACATGTGTTTTCCTTTTCCTATTATCACTTCCGCTTCTTGAAATCTTCGTTACGCATCTATCGTAGCAATTAAAATTACTTTGGGACCATACTCTATCAGCTGAAAAAGGAATCCAAGTTGTCGGTCATATTTGAAATAAACATGTCTATCGGGGTCACTATGGGGCGTTCTGAAGTGCAGAAATCCGGTGATATTCTCCTCTGAAGGGCAATTTTATTTATAGGTCAATTGTGGCACCATGCTCACGAACGAAGAATTTTGTCCGCCATACTTGAAACAAATCAGTCTTCTACTGGAATTTTCGTTATGTGTTCAGCTTCGAACCGGTTCTGGAGTAGGAAGCCAGGAGATTTTTTGTTCTGAAGTGGTGTTTTATTTACTTTTGGGCCATACCCTATCGGCTGAAACACGAATAAAAGTTGTCCGTCATATTTGAAATAAACCTCTCTATCGGGGACAGTAGGGGGCGTTCTGAAGTACAGAAACCAGGTTATATTCTCTTCTGAAGGGCATTTTTTATTTATAGGTCAACTGGGGCACCATTTTATTCGCTATACTTGAAACAAATCAGTATTCTACTAGTTCTACCTGGATTTTGTGATGTGTTCAGCTTGGAACCCGTTCTGGAGTAGGAACCCATAGATTTATTTGTTCTGAAGTTGTATTTTATTTACTTTGGGATCATACCCTATCAGCTAAGAAAGGAATCAAAGTTGTCCGTCATATTTGAAATAAATCCACGTAGTCAGGTCACTAGGGGGCGTTCTGAAGCCAGAAGCCATGGGATTTTTTCTTCTGAAGGGCACTTTTAAAGTTTGCCTTAGCATCGTGAACATATGTAGCGAAAATTAGCTTTGTCCGCAAAAATTTGAATTAAATCGACTTTTTCCGCGATTTCGGGGGCCTACAGCCCCTAAACCCAGGGGATGTGCAACTTAAGAATTCCCATTATGATCATCGGCCATCATGGTGCCTCCGTTAGGCATAGTGCCAATTTTGTCCGCGAGTTTAGAAACAACGGTCAGCTAGCTCCCCTACTAATGATCATTGTCCAAGGTTTGTTTTGAGCATGTGGTCTAAGGGGAGACAATTCAATGCTAGCTATAACTGATCTCCCTTGAAAGGAACAAAATCAAACCAAGAGTAGGGTGGCCCATGTGCTCTACAGAAATAAAGTCCACCGCTGATAGTTCGAGACTACCACTGAAGCGTACACATTCGCCGTGCCGAGACCAACTTTCTGACAGTATGATACTATAAATAGCCATGGCACGTGCAATTCTCTACAAATCTATCAACTATTACAGCCGTAAAAAATTTATTGTTGACGATTTTGAATAGCAGTGAAATTAAGCTTCTTGGTTATTACAGCAGATTTAGAAATTACGTTCGTTTCATTTTTTAAATCGCTTTATCATTAACTGTACCGTTAAGAGCGGCATCTTTTGGTTTAGTACAAATAATATCTCTGAATCACTCGGATTAGACAGGAACATGATACTTGCAGTAGTTTCATTTTACTTTTACAAGGTTCTTAAAACGATTGTTGAGCTACCTAACGTGCTTATTTCTAAATTCAATTTCTTGTTCTAGCTTTCTGTTATGTTTCGTAAAAAAGTAGTCTTGATTATCCCGACCTGTCAATCAGACGTAGAATGGTCGATAGACTGGTTAAGCGAGACTAATTTCAAAACAAGGGCACGTAACCTATCTTTTACTCAAAAGTGTCTGGATGTAATGGACGACACTTGGAACCAGTTTTCAGTCTATTATTTATAGATGATTAATGGTCATAGCTTATTAAGTACAACATGATCGTTTATTTAGTGATTATAATTATGTGAAACTGATTTGAGGCTTGGCATATATATAAATATTGTGGCGTAATTGTCGAGATATAAGGAGATATATGGAGATATTTATTTATGGTGGGTCACCCTACCAAGAGGTCCAAAGAATTTTTATTAAGGTGAGAATACATTAATGATAAAGTGAATTAATAATGAACATTGTGGTTGTACTACATTTCTGAGTTAGACACTTCAAATAATGCTGATCTTGATGATCTAAAAAGAAAAGAAAACATGTCTTGGTGTGTGGTAAATAGGAATAAAAGATAGTTGCTGGGGGCAAATGTTTCATTGCCTGATAACCTCATCCCTCCAAGTCACTAGAGGTGGCAGAAGCTTTTTAAAAAGTGACAAACTAGTTCTAGACTTATGCACATGAACACCCTCTTTTAATCATGTACCATTTTAGTGATGTGCTTTTTAGTATATCCACATCCAAGAAATCTTGATCAAAAGAACTCATGCAATGATCCCGGATGGTATACTAATCCGAAATAACTCTCAGAAACCATGTTCTGTCAGTAGTGGATTATAGCGGAGGCCTGAGCCTCCAACCCAAATCTTTTTGAAAATCTCCAAAAATAATGGAGGGGCTCCCAGTCCATGATAAGGGTCCCTGAACTGAAAAAAAGGGCCCCTTTGACTTCAGTGCAATAGCCTCGAGTCCAAGAAAAGAGCTCTGAATTGGAGAAAAGTATCCCGTTTACGTCAATGCTAGAGCCACTGTGCATTTCTCCAATACAATAGCAAGGCTGATGCATTGCCTTTTGTTTTCTTACCTTGTTCAATGAGCTGAATTGGGCACTCGGATATTCATTCGCGTTTGTTACGATTGGAGTCTGTTGATATCGGCATACCCAAATATTGTGTATCCTATCCGCGGGTTTGGGAGAGAGAGAGAGAAATGGTATTTCCTGTCCACTCGACACAAACTAAGTCATTTTGGGACTGACATATGGTTCAATTTTATTTCAATAATTCGCTTGCGCGTAGGGGTCTTTAGCAGTGGGAGGAAATCGGAGGACCCAGAGAAAACCCAAGAGGTTGGACAGGCGACCCTAATCCTTGTCACATACAACCGGGGAATCGAAACCACGCCAGTTGACTCAATGACAGACCTTATGATATAGCGTGCACTTGCTAATCCTTCGGCCATCCAACCCAGGTTTGGGTTATGGGTGTTTGTTTATTTGTGGTACCATCCTGATCACATACTATTAGCTATCCAGGTGACCAAACTCTAGTGTGAATTGCAAATCACCTGCGTTCCCATAAGAGTTCAGTAGTCATAAAAGTTTGTCTCTGTGCCTATCTGCACCACAGGTATTGTGAGCCCCTTCCCCCCTATAATTTTTTCAAAAATATTAATTTTTACAAGGCTAAGAACAATTAAAAGTCAAACATTTGTTTGCTTTGCTTAATTTTTTTCAAACAAATTTATCCAACAACTGAAATAACTTTTACTGAATCTCTGGTGGCCCTCCAGTTGACGAAGGACCCTGCTGCAAGTCAAAGTAAGAATTCCCGTAAAATATTAAAAAGTGAAATATGTTGCATGTCCAATGTCTCATAATTAGTGGTGCGGATATTTTGCGGATCATTTTTGTTTCCAAGGAGTGGGGTATTAACCATTGCAACACCCCTCTCCATCTTAATCGGGCAAAAATTCCCCCATATCACACTGCATGGGGTATGGCTGTCTTCATTAGTCCAGTTGGAGCAGGAGGGCGTCAAACCTAATTTCATTGGTTTATCTACAGATTTGGACAACAAAATTGTCAATTCCAGTTTGTATCTAAACCCACAGGAAAGTGCTCTAAACAGGGTTGTCGGTAATTTTTCACAGTTGATTAGCAGTGCTGCTTATCAAAAAGTCCAATTTTGCCAAATTTGATTAGCAAATGTAAAAATTGATAAGCAGTTTTTCAGTTTCAACTTAAAACACCTAAACAACAAGATATTACTTTAATTTTAATTCATAACAAAGGATTAGATTTCATTCTTAAATCTTAAGATTGTTTTTTTTAGCACTGCTACAGTAGTTTGTGAATGTGATGTAAACTTTTGGTTAAGTCTTATGTCTGAAGCTAATTCTCAATTTCTTGGCAGTGGCTTCCAAAGCCCCACTCATTTAATTCATATTTCTTCGTTAGAAAACAATTTTGTCTGCTTTTTATCGTGTGTTACTGTTTTTGTTCAATCGGACGGACATGGTATTTTAAGAATAATCTGGATTAACTAGACACACGCGATATAAACAATAATATTTTACGGGAATTCTTACTTTGATTTCTCATTTTACAATACCTATACACATATTTATTTTTTTATATTTTATTTTCAATAATTGGGGGATACACTGGATTTATTTTTTTCAAATTGAATACTGATATAATTACTCGAAATTGACACGTCTCGCAACATGAGTGGTACCATAGAACTGTTATATACGATCTATGGTGGTACTACTTGATTCCCTATTTCCGGTTTAATAGTCCCTATTCATTGAGTTATGTCCCTGTATTATTAATACTCTTCAAAAAAAAGTAGGGGATATTCAGAAACAATACAAAACTGCGGAAATGCACTGCTGTTTTTATTAGAGGTAACCTGTGTATGTTAATAACAGGCCAATTGCCTACACATGAACAGTTGATATGGGCGGCTTATCTGACAGCCCCATTTCACTTTCAAGGAGATACACTGTCAAAAGTGAAAATAGACGTTTTTGATTTTTGTCTTAATAATGAGTAATTGCTTCACCAATCCTCAGACATTCAGCAATTCGTCGTGGCATGCTCCTAATCAACTTTCCAATCACGATTTGGGGCAATCTGACCCACTTCTCATGCCGTGCCACGGCCAATTCTTGCAGTGTTGTCGGTTGACGTTGACGTCGACGAACACGTGTCCCGATCAAATTAAATGTAACACACTAAAGCAAAGATACGCTAAACAGTAAATCTTATGCAAGAACCGATAGAAAAGCAAACATGGATAGGATAAACTAGCAAGCTGCAGTTTTCATCAACCCTTCCTTGAAGTGTCAAATTTGACAATGAACTCCTCCCACGTGTATGGCGCTATTGCGTGTCATACATGTTGGGGCGAAAAGTTCTTTATCTGTGAACATACTCTCAAAGTATGTTTATCATATCACAACCTGCATAGGTATTTGCATTTCAATATCCTCTACTTTTTTGAAGAGTATATGATATAATGAATTGTGTCTGGGTAGTCAAGAAGAAAATGTCACACAGAGAATTCATGAAAGTGTTGAGAAAGCCTTCTAGTCCTTAAAATGTGGATAAATCTTCGTTTCAATATCCAAAATGACAGGCATATTAATAATTCGCAAAGTACAAAATATGTATCACAAATTGCGCTGCAATACTGGTTGTCGGCAGCCCTGGCTCTAAATCTCATCTACGGGATGTAATTTTCTAAATTTTCCGGTTGGCCCTGAAACCCTTGTCACTAGGGCACTTCGGAACAAGTCGCCTCCCTGTACATGTACTTTTGTTTTTCTTGTTCAGGATCTGAACATATAAGTTCTAGTACATTCTTAAGTGTAGTAATTGTTTGTTTTATCTCCTTCAAACCAAGATTTGGGGCTAAATGATAAGTTAAAAGAAAAAATTAAAATACCTAGAAGATCTAACTGGACTATTATTATCTAGCAGTAATGGTTCTAAGTTTTTAGTTACTTTAGATTTTCCACCAGCAGCTTCAGTAATAGGGTTCTCTTGATCTCTGAAAAAAAAGTACCATATACCCAATTGAACCACAAAAGTATTATTTTTTTTCTGCACAGTATATTCCTTACTTCTCTCTCAATAATACTTATTGACCATCTCTCAATAATACTCATTGCACATCATTATTGAATTTGAGGTGGGTTGAGTGGTTGAACGAGTGCAGGTACCTACTTTGATAGATTTTTGCTGCCCACCTTTCACTTTTAAAAAAAAACCAATATGCAAATAAATTACCCAAAAAAACACAGATTTGGTTGAATGAACATCCCTCGCTTTCTTGGCTTGAACCTGCATATTGGTATGCCATGTAGAGTAATTTATTGATGGAAAATATTTAAAATTAATGGAATAAAGCTCACCTCTCAGCTTTTTTAGCATTACGTTTTGTTGTTGATTTTGATTGGACAGATGGTACTGTTAATAAATTAGGTCCTGGAGTTTTAACTGATTTAGCTGAAAACAAAACAAGTCTATAATTATAAAAAATTCATCCAAAACATTACAACAGAAGAGAAAACTCAAGAAATGAAATGGGGTTTAACGACCCACTCTTCCACACAGCCTGGATTAATTAAGACAGACGTAAGCCTTACAGTGTGCTATGAGGGAAATTTTACCTAGATAGTAGCTCTTATATCAAATTCCAACTGTAAGTAAGGCTTATTTTTCGTGCACACAGATTCGATTTTTGGCCCCATCCGAACAACTAGACACTGTCATTGACAGGCCCTCCGTCCTGCACCACTGGCAAGGGAAAACCTTGCTGGAAAAATCGTGGGGAAATTTCTTGACCAATACTGGGATCGAACCCCGGACTCTTCAAGAACTGAACTGTTGATTTATTTACATCTGAACATGCATGTAGTTGATTCAAAATAAAGTTTAAAGAACAAGGCCTCTTTGACCTAGGTCATCTGTTGATGAATACAAATACGTTTTTTGGCCTTGTCTACAAATTAAAAAAAAACAAATCCAATAAAATCATAGATCAGTGGTCAGTTCTAATTCTAAATATTCTCTTCAAAAAAAGTATGCAGGTTGCGATATGATAAATAGTCATGGACACTTGACATGCTTTGAGAGTATGTTCACAGATGAAGAACTAATCGCTCCAACAGAACCACTGAGCTGCACATGCGACACGCAATAGTGCCATACACGAGGGAGGGGTTCATTGTCAAATTTGACACTTCAAGGAAGAGTTGATGAAAACTGCCATGTGCTGGTTTATCTATCCATGTTTGCTTTCCTATCGGTTCTTGTATAAGATTTACTGTTTAGCATATCTTTGCTTTAGTGTGTTACGTTTAATTTGATCTGGAGACATGTTTGTCGATGTCAACCGACAACACTGCAAGAATTGGCCGTGGCACTGCAAGAGGAGAGGGTCAGATTGCCCCAAATCGTGATTGGACGGTTGATTAGGAGCATGCCACGACGAATTGCTGAATGTTTTTTGAAGAGTATATATCAACAAATCCTAAAGAACAAGCTTTAAAATTATGAACACAGTACTGTTCTAAGCTTTAACAGTACAAATCTGAATTGTAAAATAATTCTGAGAAATGTGATCAAAGATTACCATCCAAATGTTTTGAAATTCAATAGGCTTCACAAGGTTTCATGCATTTGAAAATAAACAGGGAAATGTAGGTATATCAAACCCCATAAATTTCAACCTTATAGATCTAACTTCAGTAGAAACAAATGTATGATACATTTTATTTGGCAATATCAAACAAAGTTTATTTAAACATACTACAAGCCAAACATTGCTAAATTTTTACTTGCAAAGACAAATGCTTCAACCCCCCCCCCCAAAAAAAAACCCCAACACAACTCTGTTAAATTTCTATTCCTTGTTTCCATTATTGCAATTTCTGATAATCAATTTACAGTGATTGCCTTTGATTTTGTTAAAGAGTATTTTTATATGTATTTAATATAGTCGTTGGTAAAGATAGAATGAATTACTAAACCTTTTATCACAGTGCTAAACAGTAGCTAAAATAATGCCACCTTGACTGGATATGGCAGATGTTTCCAATATTTTACAATCGAATAAAGGATTAACTATTATAATAATTGTTATTTATCAACATTTCATGTTACCTCGTGGTTTTCTGGGTTTTTTAGTTGCTGTAGCAGGTTGTTCAGGTGATATAGATGTCTCAGCTAATGTTTGTGATAAATTATCTACATCATCAATATTACAAGCACCACCATCTTTGTCCCCCACACTGCTACCCGGTGAGTGACATGTTTCAACACCCGTTATTTTCTTTAATAACTCTTCTACTGATTCTTCAAATTTCTTTATAGACTTGACACAAAGTTTATCTTTAACCACCTACAAATAAACACATAGATTCTATAAATTTAGGCTAAACAAAATAAATGTCTTGTTTCTTGGGAGGACGGCTTCTTTTTACCCCATTGCTGGCAAGATTGTGTAAAATAAAATTTGGGTATTGCTGAAAATTGTACCGGCGGGAGGGTATCTTTTTTTTTTTTTTTTTTTTTTTAATAATTGAGAAGTTATCAATTGTCTAGTACAGTTTTGCTTTCATTTATTGTACATTTATTGTAAAACATATATAAAAAGGAAAATAATTTTCCATATTTAATTCATATTACTGACTTCAAGTTCACATCAGTAATATTCCTGAATAAATTACTGATTTTTTCTACTACTGCCATAGCCAAAATAAGCTGATACAGCACCATGGAATTTCTTCATATTTAACACAAATTGTTGTTTTTGTCTATCATGTAACTTCCAAAAGTTTTTTTTCATTTGTGGATGATAGTATAGACCGGTGATTCTCAACCAGTGTGCCATGAAAATTTGAACGGCACACTAAGAAAATGTGCAAAACAATGTGATCCCAACTGAGTATTCACTGGTGTCTACTGGAAAGTTAATAACTGTGTTATTCTTTATCCCTGTCTACGGTTGTATTCCGTCTGACTTACGTTTTTATTTTGCAAAATTCAAATATTTTTCATATATATTTAGCCAGGTGTGCTGCTATTTTTTCATGTGTTCCAAGGTGTGCCATTGGCAAAAGAAGGTTGAGAAGTTGGCAAAAGAAGGTTGAGAACTACTGGTATAGACAAACGGCACAATGATCATGTGACAACCATAATTGAAATTGGTTTTAAATAAAATTCTGTACGACTATGCCATAGCTGTCCATAATAACAACAATATTTTTAAAACTAAGCCTCTGTCAGCATGTGTATCAAACCAGCGGCTGCCAGACAGGATATGCCCACATTTTGCAAGAGATGGATAGAGAACAAGCTAAAAACAAACGTGATTTTTTGTACAATCAGGGGCAATAATCCAGAAAGTTATGGCCTGAAATGTGCAAATATCAAAAGGGACAGAGATCTTTGGGATATAAAGATATGTTTTAAGTTTCATCAAAATCGGATAAAAATTGTGACCTCAAGTGGGTTCACACTCTACAACCTTCATATTACACACTTGCGTACAAAGCGCTGCAGTTTCATTTCGATTTTCCCGAAATATGAATTCAACCTTCATTATGGTGAATGTTGATGTATTTAAACCGTTTTTAAAATCAGAAAAAAATTGTGACCTCTAGAGAATCCGCAAGCTAAAAATGCGATTTATCGAACAATTAGGGGCCATAATCCAGGAAGTTAAGTTCTGGTATCTGCGATTATCAAAAGGAACCAAGATATTAGACTTAGTGTGTAATGATGATATATTCACATGTTTATTTTTAAATCGGATCAAAATTGTGACCTCTACATGGACCACAAGCTAAAAATGTGATTTTTTGTTCAATCAAGAGCCATAATTCAGGAAGTTATGATCCGATATGCGCGAATATCCAAAGGAACCAATATCTTTGGGTTATAAACATGTATTTCAAGTTATATTGAAATCGGATCAAAATTGTGACCTCTAGGGGGTCCACAACATTGATTTACCAGATGTTTACACTACTTGTGTACGAGGGGCGGCCATTTTGTCCGGCAGTTTTTGCCCGATTTACACAAAATTCGAACACAAACAAACATTACGGAGTAACGGTGATACATGTATATTCAAATGTTTTTTTTTAAATCGAATAATAATTGTGACCTCTGGAGGGTCCACAACTTTGATATACCAGATATTAACACTATTTGCGTACGAGGGCAGTTTTGGTCTGATTTTCATGAAATTCAAACCCAACCTCTTTTAAGGTGGAACGGTGATATATTGTAACGTTTTTTTTTAAATCGGATAAAAATTGTGACCTTTTTTCATACAATCAGGGGCCATAATTCAGGAAGTTATGGTCCGATATGCGAAAATATCATAAGGAACCGAGATCTGTGGGTTATAAACATACATTTCAAGTTTAAACCAAATCGGATAAAAATTGTGACCTCTACAGGGTTCACAAGCTAAAAACGTGATTTTTCGTACAATGAGGTGCCACAATCCATGAAGTTACAGTCCAATACATGCCAATATCGATAGGAACCGAGATCTTAGGGTGATACACCTATATTTCAAGTTTCATTGAAATCGGATAAAAATTGTGACCTGTAGAGTGTTCACATTTTGACAAATCATCTGTCGTAACCAAACAAAATGGCTACGTTGAGCATAAACCTGCAACCATTTTTCTGGTTACGCCAAAATTTGAAAATTTGTGGCCTGAAATCAGATGAAAATTGTTACCTCTAGGGTGTCTACAAACTAAACACGTGATTTTTCGTACAATCAGGGGCCATAATATATGAAGATATGGTGTGATACATGCCAATATCGAAAAGAACCAAGATCTTTGGGAGATAGACCTTTATTTCAAGTTTTGTCAAAATCAGATAAAAATTGTGACCTGTAGAGTGTCCACAAACAAATTGTGGACAGACAGACAGACGGACGGAGGCGATGACAATAAACGTCCACATGAAAATGTGGGCGTATAAAAATAACAAAACATCTAAGATGCTGAATTTAATCAAATTAAGAATTTGTTCACACTTTCGGGTAAATAATTATATAGTGGTATTAAAATATACAATAAAATCGTAAATTTAGAACATCCCTGTAAATACTGACTAATAATTGTAGGAAAAATCCCTTACCTCTAACATCTGTTCACATAACACAGCTACAGCTTTCAAGTTTGACTCATTATCAGAACTTAAATCTAACTGATTTAATATTCTAGTCCATAGTTTGAGATTAAATGTATCTGGGTTTGATATAACTTCATTACACACTTTAATACATACATTATCATGACCTGGATTATCCTGAAAAAGATAACAGACAATTCTCAGGTATTATTATAAAATAAACTGGTTATAATCAAAATGCCCATATGATAAAACAATGGCTATGATAACATGTTACTGATGTGCCTAAAGCTCTGTACACACTGCCAACATTTTCGGTAACATGTTGAGCAACATGTTGAGCAGGTGCAATGTTGGTGAAAAAGTTGATAGTGTGTACAGTTTGGAAACATTAGGAAACATTCCGCAACTTGTTGTCCAAATGTTGCCAAAATAAATACAAGATCAATTTTGTTGCCGAGATGCTAATGACGTTTTATCCAATCAGAAATGAGCCATAAATCACATAATCTATCTGGAGTCAAGTGATGTAGACAAAATGGCAGCTACCAGCAAGGAATGGTTGTTAAGTTGCCCAACATGTTGTTGAACTGTTGCCATGTGTATACAGGGCCAAATTTTTGTTGCCCAGGTGTGTTGCCGAGATGTTTCTGAAAATGTTGGCAGCGTGTACAGAGCTTAACTACCAACAAAATTAATTTGATGATAAATTCAATAGCTGGTTAAGTTACAGTGATTCATATTTCAGACAAATTGGTTTTAATATATTTCTCTGACGATTTTAAATAGCATGCAGACACTTTGTTAGATACTAGCTGCTATTTTACTTGTTGATCTAATATAAATAACATTATGTTTTATTAAATAAACATTCTGGACATGCCATTTAATTTCTATTGGTTGATAGAAGCATCACAGATAAAAATAAGTTTTGCGGCTGGAACAAGTGACCTAATTGTTCAATGACATATTGACAGAACTAATTTGTTGACTAAGCATCAGTTCTTGGTGAACTTGTATGTTTTTATCAATACTAGTCAGCTTTCAAAGCAAAGTTGTTATTAATGTGTGGTGTTGACTACCCGGAACTAATGATCTGGCATGATTCACCAGGTGAGAGTCACCAGAAAAGGTGGAGAACCATGCCTGGGCAAAGACGTCATTTTCAACACAATCTCATGGTTGTTTTGACTTTGATAAGACTGAATATTTTAACCAACCATCTTGGATGTATCTGTATTCTGATGTAGGACTAAACGTCTTGTATTAACTAACTGTACAAGTATATCAGATACTTTAGTTAAATCTACATCTGATAATGGACTGGATGTTGGAGCATTCATCAATGTTTTTAACGTCAACATAAAGGCTTCTTCTGTTAATTCTTGGTTACACCTGTAAAAGTCAAACAGATTGTAAAATATAGCTTAATAAGTTTGGATTCATTTTGAATGAATATAATTAAGATTATACCACACTTCAACTTAAAAGGGGAATTCCCTTGATTATGTAACTACTCGTAATCTCACGATAAGACCCATTTTTCAATAGGATTCAGGAGAAAAGATGGAAATACACAACATAAAAGTATTATTATAGAAACAAGAGCTGACAGCATCAGTATGTAAAGAAAATTAACCCAAATGTACATGATACAATATTAATAATGCATTTACTTGTGGGAGTACAACATTTTAAGTTGAAATGTGCCAGCGTGAATGTACCGGTAATGACAATATCATTTTACCTTGCAGCAAATGAGAATATAGGGAAAAACGCTCCCAAACATTGTCTTAAATGATGATCATCTTCGGTAACGGGATTACACCATAATAATAATAAATGTGATAATATCTTAGATGATACTAATCTACCAGATAACATTAGTTTAGCTAATCCTTCAGCTGCTACAGTTCTTAACTCCACACTCTAATAAAATAAACATAAAATATTTTAATAAACAAAGAAGAAAAAAATATATATACATATAGTAGGAGAGCTAGCTGACCGTTATTCCTAAACTCGCGGACAAAATTGGCACTATGCCTAACAGAGGCACCATCATGTCCGATGATCAGAATGGGAGTTCTTAAGTTGCACGTTCCGTAAGTTTAGGGGCTGTACGCCTCCGAAATCGCGGAAAAGTTGATTTAATTAAAATTTTTGCGGACAAAGTTAATCTTTGCTACATTTGTTAACGTTGCTAAGTCAAACTTGAAAAGTGCCCTTCAGAACAAAAAATCACCTGGCTTCTGGCTTCAGAACGCCCCCTAGTGACCCATGTATCTAGGTTTATTTCAAAATATGACGGACAACTTTGATTCCTCTTTCAGCTGATAGAATATGGTCCAAAAGTAAATAAAACTTCAGAACAAATAATCCCCTGGCTTCCTACTCCAGAACGGGTTCCAAGCTGAACACATCACAAAATCCCGGTAGAATTAGTAGAATACTGATTTGTTTCAAGTATGGCGGACAAAATTCTTCTTTCGTGCGAATGGTGCCACGATTGACCTATACATATAAAGTGACCTCAAGAAGAGAATATCATCTGGTTTCTGTATTTCAGAACGCCCCCTTGTGACCCCAATAGACATATTTATTTCAAATATTACAGACAACTTTGATTCCTGTTTCGGCTTATTCGGGTATGGCCCCAAAGTAAATAAAACACAACTTCAGAACAAAAAATCTCCTGGCTTCCTACTCCAGAACCGGTTCCAAGCTGAACACATTACGAAATCCCAGTAGAAGACTGATTTGTTTCAAGTATGGCGGACAAAATTCTGAAGTTGTGTTTTATTTACTTTGGGACCATACCCAATCAGCTGAAAAAGGAATCAAAGTTGTCCGTCATATTTTGAAATAAAACTAAGTTGATGCGTTCTGAAGCCAGGGGATTTTTTGTTCTGAAGGGCACTTTTCAAGTTTGCCTTAGCAACGTGAACAAAATGTAGCAAAGATTAACTTTGTCTGCAAAAATTTGAATTAAATCGACTTTTCCACGATTTAGGGGCATACAGCCCCTAAACCCAGGGGATGTCCAACTTAAGAATTACCATTCTGATAATCAGCCATGATGGTGCCTTCGTTAGGCATAGTGCCAATTTTGTCCAGGGGTTTAGGAATAACAGTCAGCTAGCTCCCCTACTAAGTAATAATATAAGGGTTTTCTATAAGGTAACATATATGTGTTTACACAACATAAAACTCAGCCACATATTTACACTGTTACCTTGTTATAATTACATGATGCTGCGAGGTATCTGTGTTGAGGGATCAGTTCACATTAATGCAGAACAAATTCAGCTTTGTAATGTTATGTAAATTTAATGCTAAATGGTATTTGTTTTATTAAAACTCTAACATGTAATAGTAACTAGATGACACATAACTCAAGTTTGTGTGGAATTGACAGAAATGTGACGTTTGTAAAGTTAAGATACGATTATTCTAATTTTGTTCTTGTTTTACACAAATTTGCTTAATATATTTTACTAAAGTAAAGGAACATTTATTTCTAAATATTTACCTCACTATCTAAGAATGAACTGAGTATAGCTATAAGTTTAGCTGCTATATTAACAGGTTCATCTTGTTGTTTGTCTGTAGTAGTTTCAATAGTAGTATCATCAAATATATCTATAGTACTATCTACAGTACTATCAATATTCTTCTCATTATCTTTTAATATATTTATACCATACATATGTACTAAATCAAACAAACATTTTAGAGCACTGGTTCGAACTTCTTCTGTATCAACTTGTGATATCTAAAATATCAAATTTATATTATTCAGATTATTCTTGTTGTTAATTGAGGATTTCATGTCTGCTTCCACTCAGTGATGTCCTGTGGCAGGAAACCTAAATAAACCCACCAGGTTGGGATGGCTTCCTTATCTCCAAGCCATATACGTTTCCACCAGGGACTGAATCAACAACCACAAGCAAGAGGTGAACGGCCAGTGAGAACTCAAAGTGTGACCTCTAGCTAGACCACTAGATCATATCCCAGTGTCCCCTTGACACTATTGCACCATGGACCGTTTATATGTACTGTACCAGACTCAAAGGTGTATATCTGTGAGTGTGATTTCTAATATAGACAGTTTATGACAGATTGCCAGTATTAATTCACTTGTGGAGAACAACCCACAACACTTTTCTCAATGACAAACTTGTGATCTAATGTGCAGATATTTTACCACCCAATCCCACTATCAACAAACAGAATTTATTATATTACACAACCCAATATGAAAGTGAAATTGGCATAAATTTTTCCGAAATAGTGTATTTGAACATAAAAGACCTTATGGTTCACCTTTTTCCAAGACAAAAAGATATATTCTCCTTACTGTTTGTGAATAATCAAGTACACACAGGAAAATTTGTCATATAATTTATCCTTAGATATCCCATGAATGAAATAAGATAACATAGAATCCCTGGGACTGCTTATTGACAAGGGTACAACAAATAAAAGGTATATATATATATATAGAATACTAATACAAAGTTTCACTTACTTGCATTAATAACGGTAAATAAAGTAAAACTATATCTTGTTTTAGATGACAACATAAAGCTAATGATGTTACAGCTTCATTTCTTACACTTTCATCTTCACTCTGAATACCTGGTAATATCTAAAACAATATAACACATCACATTCAAATACACACCAATACATCATGATGTAAACCAGAGCTGGAACAATATAATGTAATTCACATTCCCATATTATACAAATCAAAGAGGACTATTTTATTATTAAGAACTAATACAATGAGTATGGATATTTAAGAGATTTAGTGTACCTGAGATTCTAACATCATCTGTAACGTGGGTGATAATGTTTTTAATGGTAATAACTTCAACATTTCACTGATTATAGTTAAACACTTTAATAATGTAGCTGGATCATTCTACAAAATACAATTACAAAAAATGAAATGAAATGTGGTTTAATCGCACGTCAGCACCAACCAGCCTATATAAATATTGCGCCAAACATATGATGAGTTATACGAGACAAACTAAACAATAATCACAATAGTAATCTATATAAATATAAATAAATAAAAACAAATATCACAGTGATTATCAATTAAAAACAATTATCACAACACTTTATATATATATAATTAAAATACAACAAATGAAAATTACAAATATCCAATTACAATTTTGTGTAAAAATTTGTCTCTTTTAGAAAGTCTAGAAATTTACTATACAGACCCAGTTGGGCGAACAATTGATATAAGGAGTGGCAACGGTAATGAGTTAATCTAATATCCTGGAGATGCTTGCACTCAATCAACAGTGTTCACATTCTGTTTGAGGCTCTCGCTTTAATATGAAAATGTGAGTTAAAAAAGTATGACCTATGCGAGAGCGACACAAAACAACCTCATCCCTCCTGTTTGTTCTGTAGGAGTTTGGCCAATCTCCTAAGAAAGGCTTAATGTGATGAAATTTGTTTGTACCTACAAGATCCCAAGAAAGCTGCCAGCAGCCATTGAAAATGACAAATAAAATTCAGATATGAGAAGATTTAAAACAGACTTGGCAGCCAAGTCTGCTTGGTCATTGCTTTTAACAACATGGAACTTATTGGACGAACACTTTTAATGTAAATAATCTACAGGTCCTGCTATGTGGTTTTTATTGCGAGCACTTCGCTTTTCCACATAAAGCCAGCCATTTCTTTTTCCTCACAGGTTTTTTCTATCCGCTCTGATGCCAAACATCAGTCAGTTGGACCTCCTGTTTTAACTTTATTATGACAAAGGGAGAAGATGACCCGCCCTCTCTTCTCACGACAGCGAACTTATAAGTGTGCTTTAAGGAACTTTTGGTATCCGAGGACTTTTTTATTTTTTGTTTTTAACAATTTTTAAGTGTAAATAATTTAATTAAATCAACCTGTCCATAATATCATATTCATTGTATTGGACGTTAAATCTGTAATAAACAACAACAACAACAATGAAGACAACGAAAGAAATTATCGTTTTTAAAAATATTGCGCAGTAATTTTAACAATAATCTTTGGATTTTAATTTTCGATACATTTTGGCATAGCCTGAGCCAGGAAACATATCTACGCTACTTTTGATTTTCGGCAAATCTTCGCAGATATTAGGCGCCAAATTTAGAAAATTTAAATTTTTACAAAAAACTTTTTTATTTATGAATATTTTTTGGTCGTCTTTTACACAGAATTAAAGAGTAAAACGAGTCATCTGACTTGAGCAAAAATGTGAAATTGGTTTGTCTCAGTAATTTTACTTGGCCACCATTGGCTAATTCAGTTTTTCAGTCCTAGATTAATTATTTATTGTTCGATTTATATAAAACAAAGTTCATATGCCTTATGTTTCAATTGTTATTTTTTTGTTACCAATAGAGTTATCTGTCATGACCGGAAGTGGCGTAATTTTACCAAAAACTACAATTTTGACAGTTTGGTACCACTTTTCGAAAGCAAATATATTTTTTTTTAACTCCTATAACTGAACGAGTGCCCTTTTTTTTTTTAATTTAAAGGCGCAAAAAACTGTGAGTTCATTTTTTTCAATTTCGATTTCATTTTCGAGCAAATTCAATTAAGAGGTGAAAAAAGGTGTAAAATTGACCTGTTTACAACCCATTCTGGCTTTTTAGATTTTAAAATATTTCTACGTAACTTTAACTTGTAGCTATTATGCATACGAAGAAAATGTATGTTAAAATTAGTTTGTAATATGAGCAGTTACCGAGAAAGAGTCAATTAATTATTATTGAATTTTCATAGAAGTGACACCATTTGATGCGTAATGTCAATTTTGACTAGGTCGAACCAATTTAACATTTTAAATTTCACCGGAAATGACGTCGTTTGGGCAAAAACTGTATTTATAGCCTTTGAAAGAAATAATTTATTCATATCAGTCGTATTTGTTATTTGTTTAAAATTTTGATATTTGATTCCAGTCAACTAATAGAATGAACCCATATAATCATACAGATAACAAAAATTGGTTTCTAACTTGTTCAGTTGCAGAGAAATAGGCGATTTTCAACAGGTCACTTTTCAAGGTTTTTGGTCCATAAAGGTGTCAATTATTATTTGATTTTCATAAAATTTTCACTGTGTGATACCTAAGGCCATTTACGATTTCATACAAGTAATTTAAGATTTTCATTATCACCGGAAGTACCGTCAATTTGGCAAAAACTTATTTTTAGTCTCTAAAACAAATACTTGTTTGAAGTAAGTGATATTCATTATTCATATAAAATTATGATATTTGATTCGTATGTGAATTTTTCCGTCTTGACATGTGAATTTTTTAGTGTTGACATGTGAATTTTTTCGTCTTGACATGTGAATTTTTTTGTCTTGACATGTGAAAAATAATTTTGTTGAATTGTTTATAAAAACCGAATATAGTGATAAAATATTTCTGTGAACAGTATAATTGACTTGACTATAACAAAATACAAGAGCAGCAGTGGAAAAAAAAATCTTTATTGATATACGTCGTTTTGTACAGAAAAAAAATGCTTGGAAGGTGATGAAAAAATTGTTATACTCGATTTTTTCTCTTTCCATACAGAAAAACGGTCTTGCAATTAATTCCACTTTGGCTTGCCATAGATTCGTATGGACAAATAGTATTAATCAATATGATCATATTGATATCACAAAATTGTTTCTAGCATCTTCCCTTGCTAAGAAATAACCAATTTTGTCAGGATCTCTTTTTTAGATTTTTTTCATTTTAATTTCAGTTTATGGGTTGTGGGTTAATTATTTATTGCCTGATTTGTGTAAAAGAAAAGCCCATAACTTTCTTCTCCCAATAAAAGTTTCTGTCGGCACCAGAAATGACATAATTTTGCCCAAAACTTGAATTTTGACGTGTCTAAAGGTGTTTTAAAAAGCAAATACTAATGTTTACAAATCTAATAGATCAAGATAAATGCTCCTACTAAAGCCGCAAAATATGTCTTGCTTAGTTCTTTTTTTATTTCGGTCTTGCATTTGCACCATACTTTCCTCTATCATTTTGACTCAAATCAGCCTGTTTGATCAACTCAATCATAGAATTTCCTGGAAAATTCGAAACTTGCTGTCTGCTGTACGGGACACTTTACAGGAAAATTTAGAACATTTTTCAAAGATGGCGCCAAAACGGAAGTTATCTACATGTACTCGCACCAAAACGGAAGTTATCTACTCACACATACGAACAAAAGCTTGAAATGTGCCTTTGAATCAATTATTATCCGGCTTTTGCAGTTTATTTCTAATCGAGCTAAGATTGAATTTCGGTCTTCGGCTAACTCAGATCTTTGCTTAACCCGGATAAAACTGGACAGTCCACTTAGATCCGACTTGTGCGAAGTTTACTGTATTATAACGAGAACAGTCAACTCTTTATAGAAAATAATTGTAACAACTTTTGGTCAGAGATTAAGAAAATCAACGGATCATGTAAATCTCTTCCTAATACGGTTGACGGTCAAATAGGTGCAAATAATATCGGTAATCTGTTTTGTAATAAATATAAGCAATTGTTCAATAGTGTCTCCTTTGATGAGGGGGATATGTCTACATTGCAGAATGACATTGAGTTTAAATTAGATAAGTGTAAGAGTAATAAGTGTAATAGAGTTCATAGTGTTTGTACAAATGAAGTAGAAAGAGCAGTGAAACATTTGAAACGTGGTAAAAAGGATGGTAATATTGGTCAAACATCAGATCATGTAATTTATGCTTCACATTCTTTCTTCATTCATTTATCGTTACTGTTAACTTCTATGATTACTCATGGTTTCTCACCCAGTAACTTTGTTCTCTCCTCAATAATATCCATCCCAAAGAACAGAAAAAAATCGTTAAATGATTCCAGTAACTATCGTGGTATTGCTCTCAGTAGTAGAGATATCTTCCAATGTTCGGATCTACAATTTGGATTCAAGGAGAAACATTCAACAACCCATTGCTCATTCGTAATAAATGAAACTATACAATATTATAATAATAGGAATTCTGACGTCTTTGTAACCCTCCTGGACGCAAGCAAGGCTTTCGACAGAGTTAATTATGTCCAATTATTTAAGTTACTGCTATCTAAGGGTATGTGTCCTTTAACAGCTCGTTTTTTTACTTAACATGTATTTAAATCAGAAAATCAGAGTAAAATGGGGTAACATTGTAACCGAAACTTTTAATGTCAGTAATGGAGTGAAGCAGGGTGGGGTTTTGTCTCCAATCTTATTTACAGTTTATCTTGACGAACTGCTGAATCGCTGTAGGACCAGTGGCCTTGGCTGCCATATTGGTCACGTTTATGTAGGAGCATTGGCTTACGCTGATGATCTCACATTCGTGACATCCAGCAGACAAGCTCTGATTGGCCTACTTAATATTGCTAAACGATATTCAGAAGAGTATGATCTTAAGTTCAATCCTGAGAAAACTAAACTTATTTTCTTTTCACATAGCAGAACATTTATTAATCAATTTAAAGACATATGTATTGATGATAAAAAGTTTTCTCGTGAAGGTTAATGTCACTATTAAAAATTTTGTATATGCATCATCTAACACAAAATATAAATTATTTAAGACTTATTGTATGCCTCTGTATGGCTGCCAATTATGGGATTTGAACCATAAAAATATTGATAGATTTTATTGTGTCTGGCGAAAAAGTGTTAGGAGGCTTCTTGGTATATCACCACGCGCACATAGCAACTTATTAAGCATAATTTGTGACGATTTGAACATAAAAACCCAATTGTATAAAAGATTTACTAAGTTTTATTTTAGTACAATGTCAAGCAACAATGAATGTTTAAGTATGTGCAGCAAGATCGCTTTAAATGGAAGCCAGTCTTCTATGTGCAATAATATTAATTTTATTTGTAAAAAGTATAACTTTAATAAACATGATGTCCTAATTGTAGGAATTTCTTCTGTTTTAAATAGAATAAATGACCTAGATCGTAATTATTATAGTGATGATGATGTAAGAACAGGGCTTACAATTAGAGAATATATCTCTTTCAGGGACTCTAATCCAAATGAAGCACTAAACCTGAATCAAATTATCAACTTTCTGTGTACTTCATAATCAAAGTGATATAATTATTTGTATATTGATTAATTATTATATATGTATAACCTATGTGTACCATGAGTACGAATAAACTATTATTATTATTATTATCTAATCTCCCATAATGTATCTTTAATTAGACATTAATTACCGTATCCAGAGCATAATCAACTCTCGATGCAATCGCTAGACTGCGATATTTAGCGGATTGGAATAGAATACATCTTTTTGAGTAATAATTAAAACGTAATGATGATCGAGGCTAGCCTAAAATTTAAAAGCTAATATCTCTGTTCAGAGTGGAGCAATTTCAGCATATTCAATTTACGTTATCTATTTTTTAAACTATTATAGCGAGAACTGTCGACTCTTTATCTAATCTTACATAATGCCCCTTTAACTCATACTTTCGCCAGGCGTTGACCTAATTAGCTACTGAATTTCACCGACTTATGCCACCTGTCGACTACCTAATGTCTAGTCACTTTTCCTAACAACGACTGTCGTTGGCCTCTTTGATGTAAAGTTTTATTGATCAAGAAAGTTATCAAAAAAGGCCAATTAGCTTCTCAAAAGTAGTTATCCAATAAATATATAGTTTGAACTAATTACCGGAATCATAAAATTTGTAGCTCACATCAAAGGTTTAGGGGTAATAAAGGTCGTAAACTCGTGAAACAATTTGCCCATCAATGGCTGCTGCCGGCCTTTTTGATGTACTGTTTTATTGATCAATAAAGTTATAAAAAAAGACGATTGGCTTTCCAAAAGTAGTTATCCAATAAGCGTATAGTTTGAACTAATGATTGAAATCATCAAACCTACACGTCACATCAATGGTTTAGGGGTTATAAGGTCGTGAACTCTCGAGAAAATTTTGTACACAAGTTTAATATTTTCACGCTCGCTCATCTAATAATTTCTTCGCTATGGAAAGTGTAATTTGTAATTATATAACATATATCCACAAGGATCACACACATACATTACTAATAAACTATTACAGTAATTGTATGGTTAAATCCACAAACCAGGAGCCCTGTTTCACAATGTTTTTATAAAGTTACATAGATTTAAATTCAATATACTTGTATAATGTGTATAAGCCATCTGCAGGATTTATGAAATGGGTGCCTGGAAATCAAAATCTCTAGACTAAATACCTTTTCATTTCTAATTTCTTCTGTTTGTGGTTGAGCTGAATCAAATAATTGAGATTTTTCAGCATCCAGTTCCGAAATTGAAGATTTTAATTCAGCAGCTCGAGCAAATTCTTGTTTCTGTACACATTCATCCATTTCATCTCTTAATTGTATAACTTTAACACGTATACCAGCTATCTGTTATAACATAGTAACATAACTTTAACACCCAGTTTAAAATATATACTAAAATAAATATAACATGTATACTAGCTATGTGTTATAAAATAACATGTATAAACTAGCTATGCATTATTATAATAAAACATGTATCTATATACTAGCTATGTGTTATATAATATAACATGTACACTAGCTATCTGTTATATAATAATATAAATGCAACAAAACAGGTTTCAGGTTAAAACAAAACTTTAGATCATAAAACCTGTAATGTTAGACAATGCTGAACCTTGATGAGGTTAATTAGTTTGTAAAAATCCATTCCCAAACCCACTAAAATATTAATGTAACAGACCTTTAGATCTATCTGCCGTTGTTGATCTTTACCTAGACCTTTCTCTATAACTGTTATAGGTTCTCGTATTTCTGATATAGTTTCCGCTAGATAATTAACCAGAGCATCAGATGTTGTTTTAATAGCTTGTAATCTAGGTAGTATATGTTTAACTAAATCACATCCTATTTGATCATTTACCAACATATCATGTAATATCTTCTCTAGCGCTTTCCTGAACAAAACAAAATAATTTAATATTTTTAAACTGAAAAGTAAACAGAGATTTTCATTCCCGAACCAGTAGGCCGAATCAAACATATGATCAGGTCTTACTCTTAGGGTCATAAAATTCTCTCAGAATTAAAAAAGAATTGACTCCAGAATGATGTTCATGGAGAATGACACATATTTTTTACTTTCATACAAAATATGCGCATGTATTAGTCTTAGATTATTTTTAACAAATGACTTAAATTCAAGCAAATTCAACATAATTGTATGTGTAAACTATTAATACCAAATGATTAGGAAGGTTACCCCACTTTGCCCACCCAAAATCATGTATGGACCATTAATTGATTTAGTCAAAAAAGTACAATTTTTACAACAGACCAAAATATACTAGACAAATTACGTACCTGCCAGCTTCATCAGCTAGATCCATACTATCTATTAACATTAATAACTGTTGTAAAACAAACTCTATTTCTAACTGTTTCTCTACATCATCACTATCTTTATTATCTTCTAAATATCTACAAGATATCCAAATATATCACATATTTTAAATTTTTTTTAAAGCTTGATTATACTGTGAATTCTTCCTCTTCACAGCTTTTAGATCTATTGAAACTAGTCAACTCCAATACCACACAGCCGTCTTCACATGATCAACACATCTACTGTTGAAAATCATAACTTAGCCTATAGGTGAAATTGATGTTAGTTATGAAGGAAACATAACCCACCACATAGTACTAATACTATAGCATGTTTTTTTTTACTTTTAAGAAATAACTCCCCTCTTTAAATAATGTAGCATGTGCTATACACGTATTATTATATAACTATAATATTACAATTTATTCTATCTTGGTAACTTACTTGCGAAGATATGAGGCATACATGAGACAATTAGGCAATATATTCTCCAATACTTCTTCAAAATCTTTTCCCAGTGATTCAACATACATCAACAAGGCTCTCCAATACATAGCACTCTCACAACTTAGTTCACTCATTGTCACTAGATAGCTATAATATACAAACATTATAAACAGAGAAGAACTAAAACACAATTAGTTTTTTTTAGGACTAACAGGTATTTATCAGAAAACCTAAAGCCCGTAATGTCAGGTTGGCATCCCTGTGTCAATTGTTCCATACAATTGAGGGATCCGACTCACCACAGCTTGCATATTATACATGTACCTGTAAATTGCGATCAAGTGTATAAAGCTTAGGGCCATTTGGTCATCCCACCTCAATTACAACCAGATCTCATCATTATGAAGAGGCAATTTTACATATGCGAAAGAATAGGTTAAACCAGGGATCTTAATCGGCTCTTTTTTTGTCAGCTTTAGCAGCTTGATGTTCAATCAAGCCGATTGGTAAAACAATGAACCGGCCACTATGCTATCATAAATCAATTATCTACTTTCGGCCAATTACAACGAGTTAATTATTACTTATTAATTTTAAGTAGTAAATCAACTTGCTTATCGGCCACAATAACAGTCATACCTTAGTTAGAATCGGCCATGTGGTTCATATTCATAATCCGAGTAATTAGCACAAGTGATAAAACAAGCTTGCTGATTATTCATAACAGGTTCAGTAAGGAAATAAGCCACGTGGCAATCGAAGGAAGATGATCTTGGCATGGATTGTGCATCTATTGCGCGTCTACGACGCTCCGTATGAATTCCAGGTGTACCGGCAGATATTTAAATAATAATTGGATCATAATTTAATGGTTTCACTGACCAGTTGAATATAATCCTCGGATAGAACACTGAATACAAAGAGAAACAGTCTTTAATAATATACTAAGCAGCAAAAGAAACGTCAGGTTGGTATGTTACTCTGAATAGACGCATTGCATAAAACTTGCCAAATGTTTTTATTGTATATTTGTGACCACATCTCCAGCTCTACCTGAGCCATAAGGCTCCTTCCCAAATACAGAATTGAACCCAAGAAATGTACTCTGCAACCTGACTTCTGAAATGGTAATGTGTTTTCCATGATTTTCATGTAACTCATGCTGCACGTGCCGTTCACCGGGACCAGCCCTATAAAATGCAAACCCAAACCTGGTTAAATCATGCACACTACAATGTCAGCAGCATACCACGACTCACAACAGCCCAGAGGAAAAAGGTGCTTGGAAGACTCGACACTGGCCACACTGTCCAAGGTTGCCAATAACTTCTAGGTCAATGTTCGGAACACCTACAGGTTTCAGAAACGCTTTCGGGCCACCAACACCACGGATGATTGCTTCCGAACTGGTATACCAAGGGTTACCACAAGTCGACAAGACCGCCATTTTGTGCAACAGCACGTGCAGAATCCCTTCACGCAGGCATCGGAGACAGCACGTCAGACAGTGGGACCACACGGAAGACCCATCAGTACCGATACAGTGCGCCAACGTCTCACGACCGATCATCACCCCTCGCCATCGACGTGAACGTCTATACAGTTTGCCCAACAACACCAGAACTGGCAACACATGCAATGGAGAACTGTTCTGTTCACAGACGAGAGTCGGTATTGCGTATCAACTGCAGATGGCAGGACCAGAATATGGCATCGACGTGGTCAGCATTATCCTGACCAATGATTGGGGTGGAATCAGCCTGAACCAGAGAGTGGATCCTGTGGTGTTCCAAAATCATGGTCCACGGAGAGGAGGCGGCATCACAGCATTGCGCTACATTGATCAAGCTCTCGGACCCCACGTCATACCACATTTCACACGTCATTGAAACAACGTTTTCCAGCATGACAAAGCCTGTGCCCACACGGCCAGAATTAGTCAGGACTTTCTACAGCAGAACGGTGTCAACGTTATGCACTGGCCAGTCCTTAGTCCGGACAAAAACCCGATTGGATATCTTTGGGAAGAAATTTAGAGGAGTCTTAATAATGTCGTACCGAGACCAAACACAGCTGATGGATTGCACCAGACTTTCTGAGAGTGTGGTTCCAGGTGCCAATGGCGTTCATCAATCGTCTGGTCCACTCCATGTACAGACGCTGCGCTGCTATTATTGACACTCGCGGTGGACACACCAGATACTGATGTATAGACTGTGTACAGACTCTAAACCTTCTCGTAATGTCTTGGAATTGTGATGAATTAATCACTAATGTGTCAACATACTGTTCACAAAAAATTGCTTTGATCCATTTAGTAATTCATTTTCTAGAATGATTTAATTAAAGTGCCTCTCTGATTTTGAAATCGTACAGATGGGTTTTTTTTGCGGTTTAGTATATATTATGAATCTCCAATGACATGTGACATCAGTTGGAATTAGGTCAATAAACCTGTGATGCTTGTTTTAGTTTTAAATAACGTTTACCGTTATGATTTTTTATTTTATACACATGCTGACAGAGGCTTAATTTTTCATTATTATTGAAAGCTATATGGCATAGTCATATGGAATTTAATTTTAAAGCCATTTCAATTATGGTTGTTACTTAATTATTATTGAAAGCTTGTATGGTTGTATGGAATTTAATTTTAAAGCCATTTCTATTACAATATTTTTCTGTGTATTTGGCGCATGCGTAGATAAGGCGCAGGGCGAGTTTGGCAGAGGTGTTTCAGGAAAAAATAAAAGTGCATGGTTTAGGCACACCCTTCTCCAACGCCTTGTGGAACTCGTGCCATACCATATGTGACTCAAATACACCTGCTATCTCCAGTAACTGGGCCAAATTCTATTGTTTACAATTATAATAATTGCCGATATATAGCTGTATCAAGCTTTATATATTATATATTTCTTGATGCAATAAAAAAAACTCTAAATGTATACATTTTTTGAATTTGATAAGACTTTATATTATTTATAACTTTCAATGGTAATTCTGGCCAGTGATTGAAATAAGGCCTGCCCGCCTGCCCGTAGCTGGTAAATTTCACGTCGGGCTGCCTGAAAAAATTCCCCACCAGCCCGGTTGTCAGGCTGATAAAATTGAAAGATATAATCTACTAACTCACTCATTCTAATCTATCACTCACTGAAGTTTACTTTGCCATGTCTTGTTTTGATAATAAAGTTTATGAAAGCGAGATGCGAGTTTGTTATCGATGTTTTCTATTTATAACAGTGACAGATCTTCAGTCTGTGAAGATAAGGAAATTACTCTAGTGTATCTGCCTAAATTTAAGTTATCCGTGCCGTTATTGGCCATATCTAGTAACATGGACCAATAAAGACCAATCAAAGCTAGTGTTACAATCACGTTTAGGTTATCAAACAAAATGGCGTCGTAAATACGTATTCAGGTTTAGAATGTCACAATTAAAGATTTTTAGTTTTTTTTTTTATCAAACTCAAAGTTAAAAGAAAGACACAGGTTGAAAAAGACATTGAGGAAAAGGATAAAGAATATGAAAACAATAAAAGAAATAAGAAGTATCAGATTAAGTGGCCGATCGAATTTCCGTGGCTGATTACCGACAAAAAGAATCTCTGTTTTGTCGGATATGCAGATCATGTTACGGGCCAGGTTAAGTCTGAAAGTTATTTCAATCACTGATCTGGCGCTCGTATGGTAGTCAAATTGTTGTTAAAGTCCCGCCCACAACAAACATTGCCGTCTATTACATCTTGTTAAATTCACAAGCAATTGGCTGTGATAAATGAATAGGTATTGACGATAAACAAATGAAATAATAACTGTAGAAATAATTTATCATGATCAGCTACTCACAACTTAAATCCTGACTACCGGTAAAACTAAGAGAAACAATAATTCTAGTTTACTTTATACTATCCAAACAACTGACAAAGATGGCTTCAATTGCCCTGCCCACTACATGCGACATGACAGTACTTAGATTGTAGCCATTTAGATCTATCAGTAACATAATACAATAGCATTTTTAATACCAATCAAAGAAACAATGATTTTGTGAACTACAAACAACTTCATAAAGCATAAGGTGACAACTCACCCGTAGATAATTAACTATACTGGTAAATTATAACAATGGATCAATAAGTCAATCTATGTTCCATGAAAACTAGCGGTAACTTGAAACGGCTAAATGTAAAATTTACAGCAATGTATAGAAAATACCAACGAAACTTCCCATCAAATTTTCAAAGATAGGTTGCCAGGCAATGAAACATACGCCCACAACAGCTAAATCGTTCGGGCAGTCAACAAGTGTTGTCACATATTTTTTACTTTTTTTGGTAATGAAACATTTATACTACACTAAAATCTGATTAAGAGTAACAACTCATGAAGTAATCATCAATCTGAAGCAAGCCTTGAAATAACTGCTAAGGTTCAGTCTGACATCATGTCAGGCTGAACTGATTTTCGGCCGGACATTTCAGATTTTCAGCCTGACAAATACTTTATAAAGTATATTAAACCAAAAAACTGTTGAAATTTACTATGTTTATATATATTATTATACATACATTTATTAATAAAATAAATTGATGACTCACATACAACCTGGAGTTTTAAGTTTTTATATGTATATGGAATACAACTTTATAGTTCATATAATAATGTCATTAATCTCTTTGGTGGGCTGGGGACTAAATCCTAAAAACTCTGATTAAGATTCAAATTTAACTAAAGAATAGACATCTTGAGTTGTCGTAAATGGTTCAGAATCTGCCAAGTCATTTTTGATCCACTTTTCTACGGTTCATGTTTGTAATTTTCGAACTGGTGATGGCGACGGCCCCCGTTTAGAAGTGTCTTTGAATTTTCTGGAACGGTCCCACTAGCCGGGATATCCGTTTCCGAGGGTTGGGAAAAGTAAGAAGTTATTTTATTCGACATGTTTTCACGGCTCTTCTATTTACATTCACATTGGAAGTGTCCAACAAAGTGAGATATTTTCGTATAAAAAGTCTGTCCCTAATTACATCCATACTCAACTTGGACATTTTCTTGTAAACTAATTTTAAAATATTATTACTTTTATTACTAATAATTTATATAATTACATGTCATGTTAGGTGTGATTTAGAGCTAATCATATACGAAAGTAACGCAAAGCTAGCTACGAGACTCGAATAACCAGTGTAAAAGAGCCGATTCTCAATATTATTCATTATTTTATCTTCACGCGGCCGAGAGAGATACATGTATAAATAGTAATATTTTTACTATGACTCGGGTCGTTGATATAACCAGCGTAAAAGAGTCGATTCTAAAAATTATTGAAGATTTTATCTGCACGCGGCCGAGATATAAATAGTAACATTTTCACTATGACTCGGGTCATTGATATTTTTGGTTCTGGACTTTCGAGTCTAATAATAAATAGCGATCGACTCATATATTTTTGACTTAATGTTTTACAAAAACACGGTCGGACAATTATGTCCGGACGAAAGGCAATTTGGCCTGTCAAAAGGGGTCAATTCGCCCGGACATTGTCCGTGTCCGGACGCTTATTTCAGCGCTTGATCTGAAGTCAATCGGATGATAACATTAGCCTCTAGAGCTTCACAAGATTTTTCAAAGTGATCAAGGTCCATAACTTTGCCAGTAATTATCGGAGATCGTTGAAAATCAATAGGATTCTTTGTCTCATGGCCTCAAACACTGTGTATAAATTTAAAGTCAATCGGATATTAACTTTAGCCTCAAGAGCATCAAGGGCAGTAATTATCAGAAATTGCTGAAAATAAATACACTTCTTCGTCTTATGACCATAAACACTGCGTATAAATTTAAAGTCAATCGGATATTAACTTTGGCCTCTAGAGCGTCCACAAGATTTTTTGAAGTGATCAAGGGCCATAACTCTGGAATTAATTATCGAAAATTGCTGAAAATGAATAGACGTCTTCGTCTCATGACCTTAAACACTGTGTATAAATTTAAAGTCAATCGGATATTAACTTTGACCTCTAGAGCGTCCACAAGATTTTTATCGAAAATCGCTGAAAATGAATAGACGTCTTCGTCTCATGACCTTAAACACTGAGTATAAATTTAAAGTCAATCTGATATTAACTTTGACCTCTAGAGCGTCCACAAGATTTTTCAAAGTGATCAAGGGCCATAACTCAGGCAGTAATTATAGGAAATCGTTGAAAATCAATAGCCTTCTTCGTCTCATGACCTTAAACACTGTGTATAAATTTAAAGTCAATCGGATATTAACTTTGACCTCTAGAGCATCCACAAGATATTTTGAAGTGATCAAGGGCCATAACTCTGGCAGTAATTATCGGAAATCGCTGAAAATCAATAGGCTTCTTCGTCTCATGACCTTAAACACTGTATAAATTTAAAGTCAATCGGATATTAACTTTGACCTCTAGAACGTCCACAAGATTTTTTTAAGTGATCAAGGGCCATAACTCTGGCAGTAATTATCAGAAATCGCTGAAAATCAATAGGTTTCTTCGTCTCATGACCTTAAACACTGTGTATAAATTTAAATATAAACTTTGCTTGTGGACGCCAGACCGCCGGACGGACCACATTTCAATGTGGGCGTATAAAAATTAATTATTCAGAATGGCTACGAGACGAAAAGCTACAGTAGCAGTGTCACGGGTTGTGAATTTAATTTGGGTGAGTCGAATGTAAAGCGGCTATGAGTTGGGAACTTAGTCACATAAACCAAATAAAGAAGCGAATAGATGGAGCGACGCACGTTATCCACAAATTGAGAAAGAATTGGTTGACTATGTTAATGATATAAGTCGAGTAAATTTGCCGTTTCGATGACAGGTTAGACTGCAGAACTTCAATATAATACATGTATGTCAGTTTAACTGTAATCCAACCCTTAATACAGATGACTTGTATTCAGCCAATGAAAATGCTTGTATGAATGCATGCCCCACCCTATTCGTCAACTTGACTAACACCATTGACCTTGAACAGGGACGTGTTAGAACTGCCGGTGATGGCCATGAGTATACGGAATATGTTGTACTTAACGATACGTTAAAGTTGAACGGCTATCGGCCGATGGTGTTTGCATTGCTGGTAATGACAAACGGTATACAGTACACGGAATAGCAGAAAATGTCGACAGAAATACGGGCGATAATTGACATTTTTTAACCGTATCTAAAAAGCTATTGACAAAGATGGACGCATTTTAAACATATCTAAAACATTATTGACAAATATAAATGGACACGAAAGGGAACAGTATTGTATTTAATTTGAGTGATAATATATCATAAGCTTTTAAGGTGCCGTCACCCGGTCAACATGTGTTGATTCTAAGGCAGTTATTTCTTGAACTTCCGACTTCGGTGTTGACACGAGAAAAGCCTGAATTTGCTTAACATTATGTATTAGGCACACCCCTTCTAGATAATAAAATATTTGGTAAAAAAAGTGCGCCTAATACACCGAAAAATATGGTATGGTTGTCACGTGATCACTGTACCGTGTGTCTATCATTGACGAATGAATAAAAACATTTACAAGTCACATGATGGAGAAAAAAACCGCCTACAAATTGTATTATGAAGAAATACCATGGTGCCGTATAAGCTTATATATCCATCAAAAAAAACGAATACAGTAATTTATTCAGGAATATTACTGACATGAATTTCAAGCCGGTACGTGAATTAAATATGTTTGAATACCTGTTTGTCGTTATTTTTGTGGTAATTACATACAGTAGAATACCATATTCCTCATAACAAATTACCAAGAATTATTTTTGTTGAAGTCTGGTTATATTAAAGGGAATGGAAGCTTAAAATTTTAAAACCCAATTCCTACTGGGACCTCATTTGACCCAGTTCTGGCCGGTTCGTTTCAAAACCTAGGGTTAAACAGAATTCCAATATGATTTTTTATGTAATGATCTTTGTTTAGGTTCAAATACAGGCGATCAGATATTGTTATCTACTGAATTGGGATAAACAGCTTTTACAGTGTTCACGAGAGGGACAACATAAGTTGTGGGCGAAATAAAAAAGAATTTAATCAGCTGCTGCGATAACTCTTGATTGCATTTTGCTATTTACACGAGCTTTTTTAATGTTTCCGATGTGACATTATTTCTATGCTGGTTTGCAAATAAACTTACTTTTCATCTAGAAGATTAAAGTTGGCAACTAGATCAGCTACTTGAGATTGTTTAAACATAGTATCTAGAACTTGTTCACAAGTTTCAGTCGAATTCTCTACATCTAAACTCTTTAATAATTCTAATATATTACCACCAAATATACGTAACCATGTCTGTAATACTTTCTTAGAACATGCATCTTTGACAGCAGCTGTAAATACACAGTTTGTTTATAAAATCATACACAATATTATGAAACATTACAAACTGCAACAATTATCGTTGCCAAGTACAGCGTTTCTGTTTCAAACCAGCGGTTGCAAGCCAAAATACGCCCAAATTTTGCAAGAGATGGATAGAGAACAAGCTAAAAAAATAAAAAACCTGGGGCTATAATTCATTAAGTTATGGTGATATATTTACACGGTTTTTAAAATCTCTCGAGGGTCCACAAGCTAAAACACAATTTTTCATTCAATCATGGGCCATAATCCAGGAAGTTGCGGTCTGATATGCGCAAACATCAAAAGGAACCGAGATCTTTGCGTCATAAACAGTTTCATCTAAATTGGATAAAAATTGTGACTTCAAGAGTGTCCACAAGCTAAATACGTGATTTTTCACACAATCAGGAGCCATAATCCATGACGTTTCAATCTGATATGCCAATATCAAAAGGAACCAATATCTTTTGGAGATAAACCTATATTTCAAGTTTCATCAAAATTGGATAAGAATTGTGACCTGTAGAGTAACCACAAACAAATTGTGACGACAATATACGTACACATGAAAATGTGGACGTATAAAAACAGACAGTAACAACAATAGAATGGCTGACAAAACGATGATTACTTTGAATTTTGAATTTTTCACTGATTCTTTAAATACAATGAAAAAAATGCAGGCTTCTGTGAAATTCTGGAGGACTAGCTAAGATGCACATCCATTCCTTCAGAGGACCTCTTGGTCCATGTTTACAGAAAATCTTGAGGTTTGTCATAAGATTCCAAGCTGTGTAAGTGCGTGGATTGGAAAACCAAATACATACAATTGCTGACGTTATCGTTGCGAGTTATCGCTGCGATTATCAATTCACTCATACTACTTAAGAGTGAAATTCCTTTGAGTTATGTAATCCTGTTAATCAAATCATGCAATCACTTCCACAGAGCTCAATATTTTGATTATAAATTGTCAGCTAATGTGAAATGGATGGCAAAGAGCTTTTCATTTATTATTGCAGGAAAATATTTCTGATAACAGTACAAATGCTTTGGTGAGTTTCATTAATATGGCTTAAGCTGCCTGGGAGACTCACAACCTTTCTCCTGCACAGGAGGGAATTTCTCACGGAAAATGGTCATATGCCAAATACTATGTTTACTTCACAAAGGGAGGTAACTCCCTTACGTTCCATAAATCAACCTCATGATTGGCTGAATTTGAGCGGAAACTTCTAATTTTGGTAATACGGGTGTTTATTGTTTGGAGTAAATGAAGTATATTGCTGGTCTCCTGTTTTTTCATACATGGGGGTTGACACGTCTGGCATGATTAGATATTAAGTATTGTACATGTAGGCATGTAAATATTATTCAACTAGCACACAATGTTACACAGTTATACTATACCTGTTCTATCATTTAGACCATCTTGTAAGATTTGTAATCTTTGTGCTATAGATAAACATTTAATGTGGGCTTTCTCTGCTAGTACACAAAATGCTACCTGTCGTACACTTTCATTTACGTCTCTAATTCTCTCTAATATAAATGGTAAAGTCTTAGTAGAAGGGGCCATAACTCCAAGCACTGCTCGTCTGACATCTGGGTTTGGGTCTCTCGTCATCAAATACAAGTAGGCTTAAAAATCAAAATAGAAACACTGTATGAATCATGCAGTAGTGATAATTAGTATTAGTAACATATAAGTGGACCTGACATTTCTTGTGGTATTGCTATTATAGTAATCAATACCACAAGAACATGTCAGGTCCACATAAATAGAGTGCCCCACACAGTCAAAATTTCCTCTATTAAAGTGGCATTAGGTAAGATTAGATAAAGAGCTGACAGTTTTCACTATAATAGTTAAAAAATAGATAATGAAAAGAGAATAAGCTGAAAGAGTGCAGTCAAATTACTCCACTCTGAGCGATACAATTACAGTCTAGCCTTGATTATTAACTATATCGTTAGGAGTGGCATCTTTTGGTTTAGTACAATGAATATCTCCGAAACACTCTAGCTAGGCAAGAACAGGATACTGAGTTGCCTAACGTGCATGATTCTAACTTTGATTTCTTGTTCTAGCTTTCTGTTATGTTTTGTAGAAAATAGTCTTGATTATCCAGGCCTGCCAATCAGCCGGAGAACTGGTTTAGCACGACTAATTTCAAACCAAGGGCACGTAACCTATTTTGCACTCAGTAATGCCCGGATGTAATGTCTGCTTGTCATTTACCTTTTCAGTCTTTTTTCTTATCGATGTTTACCTCCAACAACAGAACATCACCACATTACCTTGGCCAGCACTGAGTCCCGACCTCTCCCCCATCGAGCATGTCTGGGACATGCTTGGACAGAGGTTACGTCAACGTCAACAACGTCCTGCCAATGTCCAAGAACTTGCTGCTGCGTTGCAACAGGAATGGGACAATCTGGACCAAAATGACCTTAGACGTCTCATTAGGAGTATGCCACGTCGGATCAATGCTTGTTTGGCAAACATAGGAGGATTTACCCGTTACTGACTTGGTTGTGATGCTGTGGTAACTTTGCTGTTTGACCCCGGGTATCATTTTACCCTTATAATGGTCAGTCTGTGCCTTACCTAGTCTAACGATCATTTGGAATAAATCAATGAATGTGAACTTCATTTCATTTTGTCATTTGTTTCTTCGTCAGTTTCATTAGGTGACTTTAATAACACTTAAAAATCAAATATCCCCTACTTTTTTTGAATAGTATATATATATATAAATATGGTGGTATAATTGTCAAAATATTTGGAGATATTTATTTATGGTGGGGCACCTTAACTTAAGAGCCCAACTGCCAACAAGTTGCAAAGTTGTCATTACCAAGTCTTAAATCATTGTCAACAATCTCAGTAGTTGATTAATATTGATATCATATAATGTTGAATTCAAAATTACCATATACCATAATATCACTTTATGATAAACACTTTCTTTAAGACTTCAAGTGATTTTACGATGCACAATTGATTTATTAGAGACTCAAAATGGGATTATGGGAAGGATTATAAAAGAACTTTTTAATTCCTTCATTTTAACTACCAGAATTAAATTTCTAATAATGGGTAAAAGATGAAATTTACCTTTAATAACAGGACAGTTATCATCAGTAGGATCTTGTAATCTAGAGATAGCTAATACAGCATGCTTTCTTACAACATGTACCTTATCTCTCATTCTTTCTAACATACAATTATATATACGATCATATAACTCATCATCAATTACAGCATTCTGTGATAGATTATTTAACAACTTATTTATCATCTGACAACAACGAAATCTTACAGCCCTATCAGTGGCACTGTGATACTGAAATACAAAACAGTCAAATGCATAACATGCATGCAGAGAGGGAATGAGGTTCAATGTCCAAAATACTAACTTAGCTATCTTATTCTTATGACAGGTTGGAAGCTCTAAAATTACAATTCTAATTATACATATGTTTTTGGGGGCAATTTCTATTACAAAATCTGTTTGGAGAATCCTAAAGTACTGCAGAAATAGCCAAATGGAATGATAATTGATGGTGATTTTCTGTGGTTAAGGCCGTTGAATACTATAAAATATATATTTTAAAGCTAGCATTGTAAGTTTTGTTCACAAGATATGACATTTTTTGTTATTTGGGGTGATAAACTACATGTTAATCACCCAAAAAAAACCTTTTTTTTTTTTTACCAACTATGTTCCAAACTTCGCCCAACAGCATTATAATAAAGGGTGCTTATGACAACAAAAGTCAAATTTTCTAAGTTATGCTTGCATGGATTTTCATCAAATTAATTTGGCATGAATAATGCTAAATGCAAGTCCAAGAAACCTGTGGGACACTTTTTGGCTATAAACCGTGGTTTGTCTGGTTTGAAAGGCCAAAAAGTGATGAGTTTTCTTGGAAATTCTATAAGTTCATGCTAAAAAAAGATATCGATATTCCCTCCCTTTGCCTTAGATCATAAGTAGAGGTTATTTTATATTAAGCGACATTTCCACACCAAAACATTAAAAAATATCTAGTCAAATTATTTTGAACTCTTTGTTCATTATTTAACTTTAAACAAAATTTAATAAATTATTTGAATACGTCCACAACGTTTTAAAATACAACAATTCAGATGTAAAAAGAAAATATTTACTTCAGTACACTACTCCGCCGCTCTCAAAATCATTTCATCCATTCAAAGATAGGTTGCCAGACAACGAAACATACGCCCACAGCAGCTAATAGAGCGGGAGCCCAGGGGGCCAACCTAGCTGAAAAGTGTACCAATTTTTTCCTATATGTTATCAATGCATGTATATCTGGTATCATCAGAATGTAAGTCTGCCGGGTTTCTGGTGGTGGGTCTGGTATTCCACGCCCAAAATGCCATGCCCCCCAACCAGGCTAGATTAGCTCAAAAGTGTACCACATGAAAATCGTACAGCAGTGTACCGTACATCTTCAGGTGTTACAAAAACACTCTAACAGACATTTCTAGTGGTGGGTTACCTCTGACAGAGCTATGTAATTGTCAGACATTTGTAGTGGTAGAGTATCCCTGACAAGAGTTTTTTAATTTCCAGACCGCATGCTAGGCTAGATTAGTTGAAATCTGTACCACCTAAAACAGCTTTGGAGTTGTTCAGTACTACTAAAGGAATCATGAATGACCACTGCCAGACAGTTTGTGCGGTGGGTTACCCCTAATAGACACGCCCCAAAATGCCTCGGCCCCAAAGACAGGCTTCTTTGTCTCATGACGTTAAACAATGTGTATAAATTTAAAGTCAATCGGACATTAACTTTTGCCTCGAGAGCGTTCACAATATTTTTCAAAGTGATCAAGGGCCATAACTCTGGCATAAATTATTGGAAATCGGTGAAATCTCATGACCTTAAACACTGTGTATAAATTTATAGTCAATCGGATATTAACTTTAGCCTCTAGAGCCTCCACAAGATTTTTCAAAGTGGTGAGGACCATAACTCTGGTGAAAATCAATAGGCTTCTTTGTCTCATGACATTAAACACTGTGCATACATGTAAATCTAAAGTCAATCTGATATTAACTTTAGTCTCTAGAGCGTCAACAAGATATTTCAAAGTGATCAAGGGCCATAACGCTGGCAGTAATTATCAGATATCCCTGAAAATCAATAGGCTTCTTTGTCTCATGACATTAAACGCTGTGTATAATTTTAAAGTCAATTGGATATTAACTTTGGCCTCTAGAGCCGTCCACAAGCAATTGTGGACGCCGGACCGACCGACGACAATATACGACCACATTTCAATGTGGGCATATAAAAAGAAATTCAGCGATGTTCCAGTCGTGATAGATGGTAGACCTTGATAATTGCATCTTACTCTTAGAGGGAATTCCTTCTGATGTCATATATAGATAGACGTCAATGGTCAGTGGGAAACTTTGCTGGAAGCAGCCATGATTGTTTACTGCGTATCACGTCACCGATCTGTATCTCCATTATTACACAAAAAAACGGTTGGACTGTTACATTTGACCTGTGATAGCAAAATGAGTTGTAAGTCGCACAAGTGGATTTCTAATTATACGCCAATTTGTGTCAGAGTGCAAAAATTTTCAAAATTTGGTTTTGACCAGTTTCGAATACTTTATCATGTTAAAACTCAGCCCAGCACACTTTACTGGCAAGAAAACATTGATAAAGGGTAGAAATGGATCAATTAGCAAACAGTAGTTTACTCAAAGTAGGTCAACTTACTTGAAACAAAGCCATAATTGACTAATTTTGTTGGAAAATATAGCTATTTTGCTGAAGGGAAGCCCTGCATGTACCCTATACCAAAACAACCGGCGAAATCTCCTCTTTCTATTTATAGTACTCATTATAATATTCAACACCACTACTCAGCCAATAGCAGTGTTTAAAATAGTAAACAAACCCGCCTTGTTGCTATGTGATGAGGTGGAAGTCGTGACCCGCTGATGTTTGACTGTCTACCTGTCGCTGACAGGTAACTTTTATGGGCGCCAAGTGGTGATAAAAATTTCAAATAATTTAGCTTTTCATGCCTGCACTAACTCACCAACTGACGGGGTAACCATTTTCAACCATTCCTTTCCAAAATCGTTGCAATTTTAATATTAACTACGAACAAATACAACTTAAAAAGATGGGGTAATGCCGCGATCATCGCCATGTGCACTGTCACTGTTTACACATGAAGTCAAAAGTCCTTATTTGCAGTTGTTTCCATTAGGTACTCGAAGACAAGGTCACCTAGACCGTAATTGAAAATGACGAGCCTTAACACACTGCGCCTAAATCTTTCTGTGTCTTAATAATTATGTAGAGTTTGCAACAGCCAAAATTGCTAAATTTATGAATATAATAAAATAACTTTATGGAAATGAAGATTGAACTACGTGTAACTATGTGATCAGCTCAACCAAATATAAGATAATCGCTGCGAATGGCCTGCGACTGTCAGTATGCATGCATGCACTCGTCTGTGACTGTCTGGTAACCTTTGGCGATACGGTTATAATTATATAAACAAAAACAACTAAAAAAGATTGCATATGTTTTCACATTTTACTGAAAAATACTAAATATGACATAGTATAAACATTTTATATAGGCCGTTCATAATATATTTAGCCTAGGTCGTAGATTGTGTCTAGTAATGCAAGGCTACTAAAAAGCAGACGTCCTCTAACATTTAATGCTGTTTTAAAGGGGCATTTCTTCTTCAAAGTTTTAATTAACATATTATAATGGATTGATTTATTATTCGTGGAACTGTTCATGAAAGACTAACACTTATTACTGCATTAGACAAACCAAATACAATTAATAATAGTACTGATAATGTGGCTGTTGTAAGAAATAAAGCTACTGTTGTTAGGCTTCACCAACAGGAGGAAGAACCATTGGCAGATACCGACAATGAACCACTGAAAAAAAAAGGCTAGAATCTTTCGTTTCGCTGAAACATGGAAAATAAACCGACCATTGCTCATGTACGACACAAATTCAAAAGTTATGAAATGCTCATATTGCTTTACGTATAATCATAAAAGTAAAAAGTTTGTTTCTGGATGTGAATCATTACGATTAGATAATGTTTGATCACATGAAATAAGTGATGAGCATAAAACAAGCCACACGTCTTTTTTAAATGCAAATAAAGTGCCCCGTGATTAACCAATAATTAAGGCTGTAATTAACATGGTAAAAAAGAGATTTAGATATCATGGCAAAATTATTTACAAAAGCATTTTATATTGGTAAACATGAAAAGCCGTACACAGATTTCATCAAATAAATGAATTGCAAAACAAAAACTATAGTGATAACATCAGTAAACATTATAATAGTGATAAGCAGGCCCGTAATTTTATTGCTCAATCATACAGGGAGAAACAGCTGCAGTTCATAAATAACTTGGAATTCTTTGGGGTGGCAATAGACGGATCGACTGATAAAGCCAATCTTGAAGAAGAGATCTACTATATATGTTCAATTTCTGCCAATCGACAGTATTGAGGGACAGGCGACGGCGCAAAATATGATGGACACATTTTTTGTAACATTCAGTAAGCTCGACAGACATAAAAAACAAATGTGTACAACTTGCTACAGATGATCCCAGCATTATGAAAAAGATGTGCAACCTTGTTCGCGATCTTGTGGCGTGGCTTTTGTCATTCCACTGTTCTAACCACAGATTAGAAATCGCCTTTATGGATGTGACTAAGGATATTCCTCTCTTCCATAATTTCTCGCGTTTTTAGATGGTTTGCATCACTTTTATTCGGGCAGCAGTCTACAATGGAGAACTTTAAAAGCCACAGCAGAACAGCTCAGTATCCACCAGCTTGTGCATTCTACCCCGAACGGCACACGGTGGCTTGCACATTGCGAACGGGCACTTGGCGCGTTGTATAGGAACTTTGCGGTGAATGATCCACAACTGTTAGATTGCGCTAATGATATCACCCAGCGCACAGAAACGAGGGCAAAGGCATCTGGGCTTGAAAGAAAAGCTTGTTGAAAGTTGAAGAACAGCTGGTTGTCTTTATGTTCTGTATTCTTCAAGTTCTCTTTGTAATTTTTCATGTCTCAGCTGCTTGCTACAATCAGATGATTTGAGTATTGACAGTCTAGTTACTACAACAAAAAACATTAAACACAAACTTAATAATTTTAATGGCAAGAAAGCTATTGCCAATTTCCGTTGTTCAAACGTAAATGACGGCGTTTACCGTGATGTTAAACTACAGCCAAAAACAACTGTATATCATGGTAAAAATACTGATGAGTCCTTTCATCAACAAAC